CATGTGGGCGGCTTTGACACCGCTCTGGTCTGGGGGACGGGCCCTGCATCTTCTTAGAGAGATCGTGTCTTTAGCTCATCACTGTGCGGGCTCCACAGCCTTCTGTCAGCCCTGTGAGTGGCTTTGGAAGGTCACGGTCAGGGACAGAAACAGGAGCTGGAGCTCTCTCTGTGCACACCCTTAATTCTCCTCATGTGGGAAGAGTGGCTCTGGACAGGTGGCCACTGCCAAGGGGCACGAGGATTCAGCACCGGCCAGCTCCAAATCAGGGATTGAGATTTCCTAGCAGGTGAAGTCTTGGTCATTCCTGGTTGAAAAAGACTGACTTCAGTTCAGTGCCGTCCTTGCTGGTTCTCACAAAGCAAGGCAAGGAGGATGGCACCCCAAAGGTAAGAGAGTCCCTGAGAATGGAAAATGCCCAAGCTAGTTGGAACTTCCACAATGCCACCTCTTTTGAACCAGAAAAGGTAGAATGGTTGGAAGAGTATCACACGACTTGGGGTGGTTGGCCTAAAAAGAGAAAAATACTGCAGCCACTGGACACAAAACGCCTAGCTTCCAGTTCATTCTTGAATTGCTGGAGGGGAGGGCTGAGAGGCCAGGGAGTCAGAGATGGTTTTCCGGGTGGGGTGGGAAACTCCCCTGTGCTCCCAGGCACGTGGTCTAGTTAGGCGAGCGTGGAGACGTCCGGGTGGAGAGCAGGCACACGAGCAGGGCCCCGCCCATGTAGTTTCTGAGGCACTTTTCAAACTTCTGTGTGTGTAATGAAACCCTACACATAGTGAGCCTGGCTTTTTCCTGCTCTTGGTCCGGGCAGGGGAGATGAGGGGCGGCCCAATCACCCTGTGTTGTGGTCTGGGCTCAGTGGGGACAACGTGTCAGGGCCCAGGGCTGATGCTCACACCATGAGAGTCACCTCTCACACCTAGCCCTGGAGACCAAAGTAGGGGCCTCAGCCAAGCGGTACACTGACCGGAAGCTAGGCTTTCTCAGAGAGATTTGAGGTCCCTGGATGTGGGGCTGAAAAGATCCAAATCTTACACCACAGCTGCAGCGAGCATTGTCCTCGTCATCTACTGGTCCGTTTGCGAGACTCCAGTTCTGCATCCCATCAGGATGCTTGCAAGGGAGTCCCAAGGAGGAAAAGGTCCAAAGAAAGCAAGAGAGATCGGTTTCCACAGCTCTCAACTTTGCTTTGCTTTGCTTTCCCCAATGGACAGAGGATGTGGGCTCTTCTCAGAGAGCAATAAACTCACTCTGGGGTCTGAACTGCCCTGGGTGACATGCACAGAGGAAAAGGCTGTTCAGGCAGAGGCTGCCTTCCTGGGGGCTATGATTATTTCCGAGCAGTTAGAATCATTAGAATATGTTCGTTGGCGTTATTTTCTGACTTGACCAAACACCACTCCCTGTAATGAAACATTGCATAACACTGCATTGCAGTTGCTTATTTCAGCAGGACAGGCGCTTGGCTTTGTTCCAGAGGACAGGGACAAGAATCCGCATTTTGACACAGCACTGAATTCAGGGAGACAAAGGCATGAATGCCAAAGGGTTGAGCATTTAAAATTCTTGTGTTTGGGCTGGGAATTTAGCTCAGTGGTTCCGCCACCTGCCTCACAAGCTCAAGGTCCCGAGTTCAATCTCCAGAGCCAAAAAATAAAAAATAAAAAACCGAAATTCTTGTGTTCGTAGGGTTCCATAGAAGGGGAAGACTGAACGGAGGGTTTTAGTTCTCACCACCACCTGCAAAACACACCCTGTTCTCTGTCCTTCCTTCAACTTTGGAAAGTTAAGAAAACAAGACGTGGGATCAGGAGCCAAATCTCACTTTCAGCGCCCGCCTGTTAGGACCGGGAGGACTGCAGCGAGAGCCTCCACCACGGCTGCTCCGTTACCTCCGTGGGGGAAGAGCGTGCAGAAAACTTCTTCCCGTTACACAGAAACCAGGCCTCTGCCTCCTCGGGAGTCAGAGCCCGGTGCTGGCTGGGCCCTGGCGCAGGCGCAGGGGCAGGGGCAGGGGCAGGGGCAGGAGCCCGGCTGGCCCGGCCGTGGCTCCTCTCCTCGCCTCCTTGGCTGCGCCGGCCCTCCCTTGGCCCCAGTGAGCTGTAGTCTCAGCCGGGCTCCCCAGTGCAGGACCCATCTCTCGGGGGTGCGGGACCGGCCCTTGGGGAGCCCCAGGGCGCGGGACTCTGGACGCCCAGTGTGTGCGCCCACTCATCTTTAATCACAACAGGAGCAGTAATTTAGCTTTTAAAAGTCAAAAAACAAGACAGTGTATAAAACAAAAAGTAAAAATTCTCAGGCCAATATGTTTCAGTTGTTACCAGATTCCTGTGCATTGTTTTCACACGCAAGAACATGCATTGCTATTACTTTGTAACAAGGAATACTGAAACGTTAATATTTTTTCAAAAACTGTTTTTCAAGATTCTTGGGCTCTCTGTGCCTCAATGGCGTCACCTGTGAAATGGACAAAACAGTTGAATCAGCAGGTGTGCGTGCACGTGGGTGTGCTCGTAACCCACCCGACAGCCGGGTGCCAGAGGAGCTGGGAAAGGGAGCCCGAGGGGACCATGCGGTCCTGCGGAGCCCGGTGACCCGGGGTCCGGGCCAGGCAGACAGTTGGGGGCGGCGGCTTCAGGCCTGAGGAGAGGGGACGCGAGAAGGAACTCCCGGCCAGCCCCTGGTCCGGCTGAGCCTGTGGAATCAGGGCTCCTCTGAGCCTCCGGGGCGGTGGGAAGCAAGGCTGTGCTGCAGACCCGAGCTGAGCAGGAGGCTGCTCTCAGCCAGGGGCGCTGTGTGCCCTCGCCTCGCCCACGTGCTTCCCGGCAGCCCCACCTCATGCTGCTCTACCCCGGCTCCTCAGCACCCAGCGTCCATCACCCCAGACTTCCTAGTTACTTCCTTCCTGCTCTATGCCCCCCAGGGCCAGCACCGCTGTCCATGTGGCTTTTGGCGGCTGAGGACTGTGTCCAGCGTCGCCTGCAGCTCCGTACAGAATGTGGAGGGCCCAGAGCTGTGCCCGGCAGAGGGGACAGGCGTCACACACCAAGTTCCAGCCCAGGGCTTGGGTGACCTCTCCCTGGCCCTGTGGGGTTGGGGTCTCCCTGACAACTGCCCGCAGGATTGCTCCTGATCCCACTGCCTCTGAGGGCCTGCCTTGATCCACACCTGCTTATTTTAAAACTGGACACATACTCCACTTTTTGAACAATTTTTTTCAAAATTTGTTTTTTTAAAAAACTTTTACTTTTTAAACTTTTTTCAAACAAAAAATTTTTTTTTTTGGTGCTGGAGATCGAACTTGGGACCTTGCGCTTGCGGGACACTGCACTTGCGAGGCAGGGGCCAGAACCACTGAGCTAAATCCCCAGCCCTCAAACAAAATTTTTAACTTGGGCTGTCTGAGCCTCAGTGGCCTCTCCTGTGGAATGGACAATATAATCACACCTCTGCAGGGGCTGCTGTGTGGATGAAATCATTAATCATTAATGCTCCCAAAGTGCTGAGGACCACATCGGGCACAGGGCGAGCTTGTGGGAATGCTGACTGCCATTAGTAATGATTAATCAATCACACAGTCAGCTATTGATCTACTTTTATAAATCATTTTCAATTTTCACTATTACAAACTTGCTGTAATGAAACCCTTTGGACTTTATCCTGAACATTTGAGCAATAATTTGTTTGGACAAATCCTTAGTACTGGAATTCCTCCTGTTGAAGGGTATGCATGCTGCTGGCTCTGCTGATGCACTCTGACACAGCAGAAAAACGGACTGAGGAGGGAGAGAGACAGAGACAGAGACAGAGAGATGGAGAGACCACGAGCGAGCACCTACTCAGCAGTCCCTCGGCTGCCCACGCTGCCCGTGGTGTGCACACGGTCAGCGCTGGCTTTCTCTCATCTTGTAAGCTTTCCCATCAGCAGGTCTCAGTGTATTCCTGCCTTACAGTCTCCATCACCAATTTCTGCAAGTCTTTGGCCCCCTAAAGACTTTCTTGTCCCTGAGTGGTCACCACCCTATTCCGTCCCCTCAGCCCCTCCATCCTTGTGACTCTGCCTGCATGGCTTGGTGTGCAGATGGAACTAACAGGACATGTCTGGGTTTTACTCAGGACGAAATCCCTAGGCTGAGCTGCAGCCTGCATCCTTGCTTCACTGCGTCGCAGGCTGAATAAAATCCCCTCACATGGATATCTCACATTTTGATTATCAAATGTCAGAAACTTTTCAGGTTGTTTTCATTCTGGGGCAATTATGAAAAATGCTGTCAACACTTGTGAACAAGTCTGATGTGGACATGTTTTCAAATTCCTGAGCGTGTATACCTAAGACTGCTCACATGGGAATTCTGTTTAATTTCTGAGGAACTATCAACTGTTTCCCACGATGTCTACACCATCTGACAGTCCACCAGCGATGAGGTGGGCTCTCGTCCCTGCACATCTTCGCAACACTCACTCTCGCCACTCACTCTGATTCCAGCCTCCTGGTGTGCCCTCGTGTGTGAAATTGTGTCTCTGGTGTTATTGATCTGCATTTTCTTAACGACTCATGAGTGCTCTTCGTGGGCTCGTTGGCCAAATGTATCTCTCCTTTAGAGAAATGTCTATCCAATCCCTTTGTTCATTTCTAAACTTTTGTCTTGTATTGTGAGTTGTGTTCTTTGTATGTCCTCAATATAAGACCTTTACCAGACATAGGATTCACAAATATTTTCTCCTATTTCCTGGGTTTCTTCACAACTTATTTGTTTTATGCTGTGGGGACTGAACCTAGGGACTTGCACACCTAAGCCCCTGCTCTGCCAAGACTCAGTTTCCCAATGGTGTCCTCGAAGGCACACTCTATTAGTTTTGATGAAGTCCAACCCATGCTTTTTCATTTGGTCCCACAGACTCTGGATACGCACAGCCTCAGGTGGACAGCAAATGGGGACAAATGAGAAAGCTACAACTTCATGCTTTACACTAATAATAAACTTACTCACATGTTCGCTTCAGCAGTGCATATATTATAAACTTATTCAGACAGCTGTCCTTCAGTAAGAGTACAGCTCTGCTGGTGAATAACAGTCAGACACAAATCACATAAAATCATGTTTTGCAGTTAGCAGATGGGTCCAAGGGACAGAGTAATGGAGATACCACGCTTGAGGGAAACAGTTAATATTCACACCATTTACAGGGTGCCTTATGAGTTGCTTAAGCCTAACCATCTATCAATCTCACCTATTATCTACCATATACCATGTTGTTTGTCTTCTATCAGCTATCCTCTATCTCTTAACATCTATCTGTCTGCAATCTATCTATCACCCATCACCTATCTACTGAGTCCTGCAGGAAGCACTGGGAACCGGCTTCCTGCAGAGGCAGCAGTGTGCAGAGGTCTCCGAGCTGAGTGAATCCGTCTGAGAAGCTAGGGACTGGCTGGGCTGCTGAGCAGGAGCCACCCACGCCTCCAGAGGCTGCGTGGGATTCAAACGAGCACATCCCAAGGAACACAGGATCCAGGTATGTCTCTTGGAATCTAGAATAACAACAAATTGGGAAAATGCTTGTGACCTGGTGGGAAATAGCAGAACATGGACCCTGGAGGGCAGGTGGTGAGAGGCAGAAGCTGCAGTACACGGGCATAGAGGTCCAGGAGGGGCCTGGGGGCTCCATGCTGTCACCTTGCACTCGAAGGGGAGGACAGCGGAGTCAGGCTCTGCTCCTCGTGAGGAAGAGGGGATTTGTGCAGGTGGGGGAAAACCATCTCCACAGTGGGGTGGGGGCGTGGGGGCCTTCCCACACGAGGAGGACCCTTCTCACAGTCGGGGGACAGCTGCAACCGTGACTCCCTCCACCACTAGAGCTCCATCAGTGCACAGCCTAGGGGCTGAGTGTGTGGGGTCGGAGGGGCACTGTCCAGGCCGTGGGGGAGGGGCTGGCTGTGCCGGGACCCTCGGTCCAGCCCTGGACCTCCAGGGTCCACACAGCTCTGAGGTCCTCCTGGTCCCGGGGAAGAGCAGAGCACAGGCGACAGGCAGCTATGTCGAAGGAGCCTTCTTTTTCAGGCCATGTGGAGCGAGCCTGCCTAGGCCCAGCAGGCCAAGTGGATGCAGACAGCCCCTGGGGTCAGGAGCTCAGGGCCGCCTGGGGCAGGGACCAGAGCCTGAGGGCCTGTCCCAGCCTCCTCCCAGGCAGACTCACCATCTTGGTGAACCTGTCCTCGCAGGCCATCCGGATCTTCTCTGGGGTCAGTGGGCTGCTGAGAGCCACGGTCCCAGGCAGACATCTCTCCTGCCGCGAGGCACGCACCGCGTCCCGGATGGCGAAGAGCACGGAGCACCCCAGGAATATCCCAGACTCGCCCAGGCCCTGTGGGAAGCGGCCGGGGCGTCACGATGCACTGCACGTGTGTGCAGATGAACGGGAGCACATGCACGTATAAACACACACGCACGCACATGTGAGCTCACTAAAAGAGATACTGCATCTTTGGCCCCGGGACTCCTGTCCTTAGAAGCCAGCCCTGGAAATGACCCCAAGGGAAGAAAGCAGAGGATTATTTAGGAGAGTCAGCAGCAGCTGGATGGCCGCAGCACCTCAGAGAGCTGGACTGCTGAAAGCACTTTCTATCTTGTGTTTGGTTGCGCTGTAAGTGAGCTCCAAGAGGGCGTCTCCTGAGATCCTGGGGCAATGCTCAGGAGAAGAGTGCAGCCATGCCCCAGAATCACCCAACACCTCTCTCCTGCGGTCGCTCACCTTGGACGAATACAGGGTATTCGAGTTTTCGGATGGAGGCAGAAAGGAGATGTGCAGCTCAGTGGGGATGTCGCAGACGCCTGGGATCTTGTACTGGTCGGGGCCCCGAGTGTGCAGACTGCCCCGGGGCGAGTATTTCAGCTCCTCCGAGGTGTACAGTCCCATGCCTTGGATGAAGGCGCCTTCGACCTGGCAGCAACAAATCCCACGTTGAGAGAATGCAGACCCGGGGAGCAGCTCCGCCTCGTGCTGCTTTCATGGCAAAGTCAGAGGTGAGGAGGTGACAGGTACACCATGCAGGAGGCTGACCCCAGCTATCTCCAGACTCCGCGGGCTCAGGCACAAGCGGCATGTGGCAGGGTGCGTTCTGACCCAGGAGGCCAGTCTGGTCCTCTGAGCCCGCCTCGCTCACGTGCCGAGGCCTGGCAGCACCCTCTCCCACAGCCTCCTCTGACTTCTGGCCTCTCCTTAGCTTCCTTCCTTCCTGGCACCACAGCTCACCTCCTGCCTCGCCTGTGGGCAGCAGCCCCTCAGCATGTTACATGGATCTGACTAAAGCCACTCCCAGCTCCTGTCATCTCCACCCGGCTGGGGTCTTCCGGCCACGCCCTCGGCCCCCTCTGCTCCCGTTACAGCCTGGTCCTCAGCCCCGGGCTTCGGCCAGCTATGGACACGGGGTGCAGCACTGCGTCTCTGGGCTGAGGCCCTCCTTCACCGCTGGGCACCTGGCTTCCTCCCCAAACCTCCCTGACTTCCCCTCCCCACACTCTTCCCATTCCCTGTGACACGCTGCTGGGACCCGAGACACTACAGGGGGTGCTGTGCTCAGCCACAGTGCACGTGTGGCCGTGCCTGGTGGCCCTTGTCCTCGGTGAGGGTTCGACTCCAGTGCCCAGTGCTGGATGGTCACGCAGCCACATTCTGTGTCTTGAGAGAAGCCTGTGACTTTTCATTCTGGTCAGTTAGTTCAAATTGGTTAGACATCAGCCTGGAAGCTGCCTGCCAATGACTAGTGCCACAATTATTAGGGTTATTCCCGCCCGGCTCATTTCTTAACATGAGAGCCCCAGGCGCTGTCTGCTCACACCTCGGGGTTTGGGGCTCCTGGATGCCTCCAGGTCACCTCTCCTCATGCAGCCCCTCCCAGCACAGAGCACATTTCTTCAGGACCCCAACTCCTCACTTCCTCCTCAGTGAGAAATGAGAGTTCTGACACTGGCCAGCAGGGGCGCTGAGGAGCAGGCAAACAAGAAGAGGCGCGTGGGGGCCCTACCTGGCCACGGTCCAGGGCTGGGTTGATGCTGTGGCCGACATCCATGACGATGTCTGTCCGGATGTTCTAGTGAGAAAGAGAAAGCCCTGGTTTGTTTCCGTGCAGGAAACAGCATGAGGAACACTTCCTGGCCAGCTGGTGGTGGGAGGACTTCTTGCGGCCATGTTATTTTAGGAGCAAGCAACAAAGATTGTACTATGTGACACTGTCAAAGTTACAAAAACTCGTAATCTGTCTAAGCCCTTGTGTTTTTCTTCTTGGAAACACAAGCGAAGGAAATATTTACTTGACTTTGATTCAAGCTGGGTGGTGGAACGGACTTCTGACACGGAAGAGGAAGCCCTGCGGCCGCCATCCCGGCTGCCTTGGTAACCACAGCCCCAGGTCAGCTCAGGGCCAGTCCCGGGACAGCTGGGCGGCACAGGCAGCCTGCGCACCCTCACGTGGGGCTCGTGGCCAGGACAAACATCTGATGCCACAGCTTTCTGACAACACAAACAGGAGGCGTGGCCCAGCCTGGCTGGTGACACCACTGCGCCCCGGGATTCTGCACCTTCTCTGCTGAGACTCAATGTCTCTGCCATAGCAAACAGGCATCACAGGGCACAGGGGACCCAGGCGTCCTCTTGTCTGGCCCTCTGTTACCACTTTGCTTAGGAAAGTCAGGCAGTGCTTGGAACGCCTGACTGCAGCGAATCTTGGGGCTCTCCTCCCCTCTCACAGACAAGGTGGGTGTAAAAGTCTCCGAGGCAGGTGGCCATGGGGACAGCAGAAGTGACTCTGTCAGGCGGCCTCTGTCCCAGGCAGCCTGAAAGCCGGGTCATTCAAGGAGCGGAGGGAAACAGGCCGGCAGTGAGGACCAGGGGGTGTGGCTGTGAGCTTCCCTGGCCCCAGAAGCCATGAGGTGACCGCAGCTGCGCAAGAAATCCGGAGCCAAGGTCACCGGACAAGCCCCGCCCAGGGGTTTGACCCAGCAGGGGGCGTGCTCATGAATATTCGCCATTTCCAGCTGCTGTGTTTGTGGTACTCTGATACACAGCAATAGCTGCCTAGGGTGCAGATATGGGTCCCAAGGGAGGGGATGCCAGGAAGGGAGATCTTGTCACCCAGGGGGATGGCTGGTGAGCAGGCCGGGGCCTGGGGCCGTGTCAGGAGGTGAACTTCTGGGCGGGGCGACACCTCCCTGGCTGGCAGATCTGATCTGTGCTTAGACTACTGGGCACACCTCCCAGACTGCGCAAATACGTCAGAGAGCACATCTCAGAGGCTACTAACCTGGATCTCAACACGGCCCACACATGCACAAGCTGTACCAAGAGCCCAATGGCTAAGTTTCACCCAGCTTTCCTTTGGGGAAAGGGATTTTTGAGAGCAGCTGGTGTGGGAACTCGAGTGGAGCGGTACAGCGCTGTCACGAGAACCATGCTCAGAGCGGGCAGCTTGTCCAGGCCGAAGTTCCCTAAGGGATCCAGGCTGGGTCAGGCCCAGGCGGCCAGATCTCAAACAGCAGCCAGGAGAGGGGAGCGTGACCCCAACATGAGGCTGCTGTGGTTTAAAAGGAAGTATGTGTGGGACCCCAAAACGAAAACTGCCACCTGACTCCACCAGGACCCAAGACTGGAGACACAGGACTCGTGGGAGCCTCTAGAATGGGGGCTTGCTCCTGGCTAGGGCTTTGGACAGGTCAGCACCAGACCAGCACCCTGGCCACACGGCATTCTCGAGGGCGAGCACTGCTGTTTTAACTCGTGGATGATCCTGTACCACTACTGCAGTGGCCAGTAGGCAGCTTCTCTTACCCCCAGCAGCCTGGGTTCCAGAAAAGATCTGAGTCCTTGAACCCAGTGTGTGTGTGCCTATGAGTGTGAGAGTCGATATGTGCCCCTCCTCCATACGGACGGTCTTGAACTGGCTAAGAAGAGGGACCCGGCTGGGCACTGAGACTGCGTGTGGCCTGCCCCAGGCTGGCCCTCAGTGCTGGGTAGCAGGTCATGGTGCCCAGGATGCCTTCATGCGTGCCAGGGCCCTTTCCCAGAGCGGGGCAGGGCTGCTGGCACCGCCCCCCATCCCCCGAAGCCCTCTTCAGGCTTTTTCTTGAGGTGGTTCCTTCCGGACTCTACTGTAAAGGTCAGCAGCCACTAGTTACTCCCCGTGGAAGCAATCACAGTGCCCGGCGACCCTGTCCTCTGTCCTCCGGCACCACGCGGAGCTCACCTCGCCAGCAGTGTGGCTCCCAAGAGGGCCTGGTGGCACCGGGAGTGACAGGGCGCAACCCAAAGGCCTCTCCCGTTGGCACTGACCTTGTGGTTCCCCGTCAGGCAGTCGATCTCGACCTCTGAGCAGGCCGCACCGTACACGCAGTACTCAAAGGGGTGGCCTTGGCCCTTCTCCCAGTCGATGTTTGACTCGTAACCCCTGGAGGAGGTGGGGCCAGAGCGGCTGAGAGGAGGAGCCTGTGAAGCAGCCCTGGGCCCTGTGGGTTCGCTGCCTTCCTTGCAGCTCGGTCTGCCCCCTGCGTGACTCGGGCTCCTGCTGACCCAGTGCTGACACGGGTGTGGGATCCTGCAGCTCCTTCCCACAGCACTAGACACGAGGCCTATTTACCTGAAGTACCCGATCGCTGAGAGGCTGATGCTTCCGTCAAAAGCGGCCTGAGCCTGTGAAGGAAGAGCATGATAGATCAGGGATGTGCAGAGAGAGAGGATCCCTCGGGACTCCCCTTCCACCACGAGTGCAGTGAGCTCGGGGCAGCAGCGAGCGGGAGGGGCCAGGGCCCATCCTTCCTCCAGCGTCCTGTACTAGTGACGGTGCGTTAGTCTGGGGCGCACGACTGGCGATCGCCTGCATGGCCAGCGGGTGACGCATTCAGAGGCACAAGGTGGGCACCACGTGTGCCACTGATGAGGCGGCCACCCGCCACCGGAGAGACGGGGCCTATGGCACGGGACACTGATCCACGCCTGTCTCCACAGCAGAGGAGCTTCACCGAACTGCACACTGACACCGGAAGTTCTGACTGCAAATGTGCAAGTGACCACGCTCCAGAAAAGCAAGGCGTCCCACGAGGACAGCCAGTGGGCGCTGTGGCCCTGGGCTGCATCGCTCTGCCCCTTTTTGCAGCTGGGAGCAAAAGGTAGAGACAGAGGCGCCCAGGAAGGATGGGAGCTCCCTCAAACAGGGGTCAGGGAGCGGCCCGCTGCCTCAGGGCAACAGGAACCCTTCATAGCAGGCACTGCTGGACTGAAGCCGGGCCAAGGAATGGGCTCCACACAGACCTGCAGCCCAGCCCTGCATCACTCCTCAGGGGAGCCCTCCAGACATGGTTCCCCAAACTGTGTCCTCATGGGACAATGCTGCCCTAGCACAGCTGCACAGCATCTGGCCCACACCGCCTGCTGATCTCTAGCCTCAACTCTGAGTCGTTCACAGGGGACTGCAGGATGTGCGTCCTCTCTTCCCAGTGGGCTTTAAGTGCTTCAAGGAAGCCGCTGGGTATTTCTAGCCCACCGAGTGAGTGCCTGCTACTGGCTGCACACACACTCCGTTGCTTGGTTTCCTGTTCCAAGCGAGTGCCTGGGTGACTTTTACTTTTATAGAATGATTTCCATATTGTTTTTCTATTTTAGAAACTATGGAACCTAAACAAGAAGAAAAAAATAGACTTACAGCTGTTATCCAGAAAGACCCCAGGTTCCAAAGGACAGAACTTTAATTGACTCAGGCTTAACACAGAGATTCTGGCAGGAAAACCATCTTTTCCTCTAATGGAGAAACTTCCGGGATGTAAGTGTCCCCGGTGCGCATGGCAGGACCCGTCACAGGTGCTGGGTCTCCGAGCTGTCCCTTCTGCAGCCCTGACTCACACCTCACTCTCTCCTCTCCCCTCCCCGCCCTTCCTTTTTTTGTTGTTTTTTGGTACCGGGGATTGGACTCGGGCCTTGTGCTTTCGAGGAGGCCGTGGAAGCCCTGAGCTACGCCCCCGGCTCCTCCGGCCCTTTCCCTCACATAAAGCACAGGGAACCAGTGAATCTCACCCAGTCCTTCCATGCCCCCTGAGGATTCTTGCTGATGATGGGTTCCAGGCGTTTGAGAAGAGTCTGACAGGCGTCCTAGGGATTGTATTTTTAAATTAAATTATGACTATGATTTCATACACAGCACACGCCATGTCCTCCCATGGGTTATTTACAAGGTCCACGGGGACACAGAGACCAGCCCTGCGCTGGATGACCCGAAGGCTTCGGTGGGCACCTGCCCAGGGAGGTGTTGGGAGCGAGCAGGTTTCAGGGACCGTGGCCTTGTAAGCCGGTGAAGAAGTTGGGGTCTGGCAGAAAGCCTGTCACAGATTTGCCCTCGTGGGGCAGCGGAGGCGGGCCCTGTGCAGAGGGAGCCCACAGTGCTGTGGGAGGAGGAGCCCGAGCACAGGCTGGGGGACTGAAAGCACTGGGAGCCCGGGAGACTTGGGCGCAGGCTGGGGGGGCAGTGTGGACAAGCCCACAGCTGCTCAGCCCGGGGTGAGCCCTGGGGGCAGGCGGACCAAGCAAGGGTCACCAGTGGGTGTTTACCTTCACCGCCAGCCCGTTAAGATCGGCCACCACGGACCCCCCCGAGGCATTGGCGTTAGGGACGGTTTCGGTGCTTGTCCCACGCAGGTGGACGTTCGCCATGGGCATCTTCAGCTCCCGGCTCACCACCTGGATTTCAGGACAGAGCTGTCTGCAGGCACTGTGGTTATCTACAGAGCGGTGCGCACGCCCCATCTGGGGCTTGAGTGCGAAGCTGTTGTATGCACCGCAGCCTTGGGAGTCACAAAGCATTCTGCTTTCCTGAGAACTCCGCAGCTTGTCTGGACCCCAAGTTCTGCACACACTTTTTTTTCTTTGACTCTCACCTGAGCTATCCCATTGGGAAGACGAGGTGAGCCCAGGAGAGGCAGGAAGGAACGCTTCGTGGGTGTCTTAGCGTGAAATCAACACCTGCCTGCAGCACCTATGCAAGCAGCAGAGCTCTAGCCATGCCCGTGTTCCAGAGGTTGGGAAATGCTTGCCTCCAGGCACAGCTCTAGCTGCCCCGGGGAGCGACCCAGACAAGGATGCAGCTGCAGACAGTGGTGTGCTCTGCACTGAGGAGAGGAGATGATGCCTCGGGCTTCTGGCTCTTATTCCAGGGCCTTTGGAGATCTGGGGGCAGCACCCTGGCCAGGCTTGCCCACCGCTGGGAGGGTGCCAGCATCGGGGCTCCTCTGCAACAGGGGTGGGACTGTCAGACAACCCCAAGGGACCGACAGGCAGCACAGAAGAAAGTGTATTTTCAGGGGCCGGGGATGTAGCTCAATGCTTTTGCCACGTGCTGTGCAAGGACAAGGACCCGAGTTCGATCCCCGGTACCAAAAAAAAAAGACAAGACAGAAGGATCCCAAAATAGAATTACTGAGAGGTGAAACTGTCTAAGGTTTTTTTTTTTTTTTTTTTTTAACATTCTGCCATTTTTTAACATTTCTAAATGTTTTATAACCTATATTAGTTTTCTACCATGATTATGAAACTAGACACAGTAGTTTAAAATTAATCTAAAATAAGTCAACCAAAAGCACATTAGTAAAGTTTGGCTAGAAATATCAAATAAGATTCACATTCTGGGTTGTGCAGAGCCCCGAGTATAAAAATGTGAGAAAGTGCAGAACACCAGAGTCCACTGATCTTCCAGTGCTTAGCAAAGACTCAAGTAGGCAGCTCAGTCCTGACGTGAGCGTGGCCACACTTTCTTCGGGGCTCACTACCCAGATTCTGCTGATAACAGCAGTGCTGCCAAGCAGTCTCCTGTCCTCTATTCTGGATCAGGAAATGTGTGCTCACAGCTTTCCTCTAATGCACATGTGCACCAGGCCACAACCAACAGCATCGGTGATTTGCATGCTTACCTGGATCATTTTCGTGTGGACACCCTGCCCCATTTCAATGCCGCCGTGGGTGACCAGCACGGAGCCATCCAGATAAACGTGGACCAGGGCAGAGGCCTGTGCAGGAGACGACAGTGAGCAGGGGTCGCTGACTGGAGGCCCCCCCCATCCGCGGCACAGACAGCGGGTTTCAGAAACGGTCCTTCCCCTTCCGTCCCCCAGCCTAAGCTGCACGCAGTTGGCCTGGCCAGGCTGCCCAGCTTCCAGCTGCATGGTGAGGTTCGGGTGCTGGAGTTCTCCAGAGTGCCATGCCCCGGCACAGGCAAGGCAGGGCTCAGGACACCCTGCCATGCAGTGTCCACTTGATGAACCTAACGTCAACAAGCAGCCCTGGCCCCAGGGAGAGGCGCCCCTCCTGCACCAAGGGACCAGCACGTGGGGCAGGCCCACCATGCACACACGGCGCTCATCACGGTGCAGTGCACTCGCTGCCCTGGGCAGCAGAGGGTGGGGACACGCTGGGCGTGGAGGGAACCCTTCCTCCAGGACAGAGGGGCATGTGGTCATGGTGATCCATCCCAAGGGGCCTGGGCGGCACTGGGCCGTGGGCCAGGGCTATGGCGACAGTGGACCGTGTCCTCTGCCGCGTGGCTCTCAGCGCTGGTCCACGGCGGCATTGCTAAGGGGATGCGGAGTCCCCTGTTCCAGGCTCTGCGTCTCCTCGGGCATCAACCACTTCACAGTCCACCCCGCGAGGCACTCGGGCAGCACACATGTTCATGCACTGACCGTCCCCGTGTGCTCGGCAGGTGCCATTGCAACCCGTCCATTCTTGCACTGAATAAATTCGATACAATTGTCATTTCTGTATTTCCCATTATATTACCTTACAAAAGTTAATGGGAACTGGGCCAGTTTTGGTCATCCTGCATTAAATAACTGGACTGGGAAGTGGTTAAAGGCGCCTATTTGGTTCGGCCGAGCGGCAGCACAGAGACCACTGTGGGTGCCGCAGATCCGGTCCAGAGCTCCCGCTGTGCAGCTGGCACACAGAGGGGAGCAGATGCCGCCCCATGGAGAGGCTGGAGGGCAGGTTAATCTCACCCACGACCGGCCCTCAAGGTGAGCTCGGAGCCCAGGGGTCCGCAAACACCTCCCCGCTCAGCCCTCGCTCTGAGCCCAACCCCAGGAGCCCCTTGCCACAGAGGTCAGGGAGGGAGGTGTGTGGCTGCAGCTTCCTTTCTGTAGGGGAGAGGGGCAGCCAGTGTGCAGCTGTGGTCTCCGCCACCCTGGAGGCTGAGACAGGGCAGCTGTGAGCTTGAGGGCAGCCCGGACAACTTAGCAAGACCCTGCCTCAAATAAAATGTAGAAAGTGCTGGGGTGCATGTGGCTCAGTGCTCTCTGGGTTCAATCCCCAGCACTGCGACAAATAAAGGAATCAACTGCACACATAAATGAATAAAATCTCACAAACGGAGCCCCAGCCCCATGCAGAGGAGACGAGGCGAAGAGGGTGGGAGGTGAAGGGACAGCTGCACAGCGGGCCCTGGAGGGTCAGTCCCTGCCCTTCCCGCCTTCTGCAGAGGCCTCTCTGAAGTCCAAAGGGCATAATACATCGAGGGCCGAGCATTCTTTACTGCCCGGTCTGTGGGGGAGCAGACACCAGGGAAGGTGGCCACATGGTTCCCCGGGGCCTCCCTGCGGCTCCCAGGACCCGGAGGGAGGGAAGGGCAGTGCCTCCAGTCCCCGCTGACCTCCCCTCCGCTCCCTCCAGCCTTTTCCACCCCTGCCTTGCCTTTGCTCCCTTGTGCACCTTTGCCCCACCCTGCAGCTGAGACTAGGTCCTTACTATTCCGCTGGTTTCTGCCATCACCGACAGTCAGGGAGGAGAGGCTGCCACCAGACACGGAGTCCTCATGTCGCCCACCCTGCCCGAGTCCTCCAGATGGCTGCAGCCCAGGCAGGAGGGTGGGGCTGTGGGCCCGAAGGGGTCTCCTCCACCTCCTGCTCAGCAGACACAGGGCACTGCTCTCCCCACTCAGGATGGGAGGCAGGCACAGCGAGCTGACCTGGCAGCACTGCGGGGCTCAGTCCATCAGGATCAACTGAGCAAGCAGTACTGCCTCCCCTCTCCCCGCATCCACAAAGCAGCTGCTCTCGAACAAGCTCCTGACACTGGGCCTGGAAAGTTACTTCGGCACGGAGTCGCTGTTCCGGGGCTCAGTGCACCCTGCCCAGCCATGGGAGGTGTCGCATCAGCACCTGCGCCCTGGCTTCTGGGTTCGGCTCCTGTCCAGAGGCTGGGGCAGCTGGAGGAGCCTGGGGCCAGGCCGGCTCAACCCAGCACAGCCTTAGTGCCGTTCAGCAACTGCACGCCGTGAGCACAGGGTCGGGAAGCCCTGCCAGTCCTGGGGGAACCCACCTGGCCCATGGCGACGCTGCCCACGCCCACCGGGAACTTCAGGGGCACCATGGCCAGTCCTCTCTTCTTCCAGGCACTGCCTGCGTTGAACCTCTCCACGGCCGCCCGCCGCAGCGAGAAGGAGGCCTGGGCCTTGCATTCACGCCAGCACTGGGCCAGGCCCTCCGTGTTGATCTCTTGTCCGTAGGGCGTCTGCTTGGTGCCCTTGTACATATTCACCTCCCGGACCTGGGCAGGGAAAGGCAGGTAGAGGGAGGGGCTGGGCAGACACGGTCTCCACGTCTGCGGGGCAGCCCACCTCCCTGGCGCGGCCGCTCCTGCCTCTCAGAGCCTCTGCACCGCGTGGCTCCGCGAAGCTGTGGGTGTCTGCAGGCCACACAGTCCGGGCTATTCAGACAGCAGACCAGAGGGCTGGGCGAGGTGGCACAGGCCTGTGAGCCCAGTGCTCTGGGAGGCAGAGGCAGGAGGGTCACGACTTTGGCCAGCCTGGGCAACTTAGCAAGACCCTGTCTCATAAAACAGGCTGGGGACATGGGGATGTAGCCCAGCGTGACACGAGAACCACAGCAGGGTGTGACTGCCACAAGCTCTGTCACACCTCGGCCACAGCAGCCAATGCTCCTGAAGCTGTCCTTTCAGTCTCTCGGGTCTCAGCCCTGCCTTGATCATCTCCAGGACGATCCTGAGGCAGGACCCGGGGCTGTTACCTCCTCTGGGGACAAGCCGCACTTGGCCGCCACCTCCTCGATGCAGGACTCTGTGACAAACCCCGCCTGGGGGAAGCCAAAGCCTCGCAGCGCCGTGTTGGACGGGAGGTTGGTTCTGCAGGCACGGCCCCGGCAGCGCAGGTGGGGGAACTTGTATGCATTCTCCATTTTCAGAAGCCCCATCTCTAGCACCTGCGGAAGCCAGGCAACACAATGCAACCCTCGTCCTCTGCCCGTCTGCCGCCCTGAGGCCTCTGCTGCGTCCCACGGGGCCCGCTGACCTACACGATGCCCCATGTCAGCTGCGTGAATGACTTCAGAGGACGCAAACAATTCCTCCTTTGAAGTCATTCATCTTCCTTTTCATGTTTTAGAGCAAGTGCACATTTTCCAGGTTTCAGATTGTTGCGCAAGCCTCAGGTGTACACACAGGGCCTGTGCACCTGTCTGCAGGAGGCAGCGCCCAGCAAACAGAAAGCACATTTGGGGTTCGTCTGGGCACACTGGTCTCTGGTAGTCTGGTCTCTGCCTGGCCCCGGGACTGGGCAGTGTCTGGGGGGTGTTGGGAGGACTCAGCAGCTGCCAGTGGCTGCAGGGACTGGGCACCAGCCCGGGCAGCTGGCGAGCATCTTGTGAGGGGTGGGACAGTTCCACACAAGGAGCTGGCCTGGCCAGGGCGTCCTCAGGTCCGGAGCATGCGCTTACCTGGATGCAGACTCCGCCCTGGGTCTGGTCAGTCACACTGGGCCGCCCAGAAGGAGGCTCCAGGCTCTTACAGTGTAAACGACTCCGTGTGGGACGGATTCTGAAGTCAGAGTTGCCTGCAATACGCCTGAGGCTGACCTGCTGTGAGACACTTACGAACAAGGACTCGTCCAGGGAGTTGCCTCCGTTGTTGTAATGCTCCATGTCCAGTGCCACGATCCGGCCGTCATTCATGAATCCCACCTGTGGGGAGAGGGGACTGTGACATGGCCCGGCGGCTCCCAGGTGCTCTTTGTCCCCGTAAGCTCCCTGCCTGGAAGAGCCTCAGTGTTGGCCTGGGCAGAGACTCCTGGGGTCTGGGCCTCGCTCTGAGACCTCAGCAGCTATGTAACCTGCCTGGCTGTCTGTGAAGTGGAACTGACGAGGCGAAGCATCACAGCACAGGTGAGTCAAAGGCGAGGTCCTCCCAGGAGCCGTCACCCCGTTAGCGTCACGGCCACCCCGCCTCAGGCTCCCTCCTTCAGAGTGCACTACCTTGCACCACATGATGGCTTCACGCTAGCCGAGTTCCTTCTGCAAGGGCTTGGGCTGGTGAAGGTCATCTCTGCCTTGCTGTCCTGTTGTCCCTCCAGCCCAGCACGGGCACAGGCCAGCTGGCCTCCTGCTTCCCGCTATCCCTGCTTCCCTTCCGACTCGCCCCTCACAATCTTCAAGTCCTGCGCCTGGGTTTAATCCCCGCTGTTCGTGCCGTTTCCCAGCAGACCCTGTGGCCCTGGGCCCGTCTCCTCTCCCCCCATCACCTCTCAGGCCCCAGTGCTTCCTGTGCCATGTCCTGGCTTTGGAGACCCTCCTGCCCCTCCCAGCCCCAGAGCTCCCAAGTGGAGCTGAGGCACCCCACTGCTCCACTGGTCGAGGATTCACCCCGTCTCACTCTTGACTTTAAGACCGAGCCTAACAGTGCAGGCCTGGAGCTCCAGCCCCTGCACTTGCATCACCAGCACGACCAGCCCGGCCCTCTCTAGCCACAGCGAGCTCTGAGCTCTCCGCCTCCCGACTCCGTCCTCCTCCCGCCCGCCGAGCCCAGGTCTCTGGCACCCGAGTGTTTCCTGTCTGCCCATCTGCCTTGAAGGTCCCCTCCTGTCTGCCTTATCTAAGACAGTTCTGCACATTTTCTACCCTGCTCGTCTTCCGGCGGGGTCACTAGGCTAGGCGTGCTTCCTCTCGGCACCTGCAGTTCTTAGGTGTTCATAATGACTTCATGCGTCTTATTCCTCCCCCTCCCTGGACACAGTTCACTTTAATAAATCCTCTGCATCACCAAAAATAAAGTCAGCCTGGATAATCAGTTAGTGTCCAGTCTGTACCCAGGCTCACCCGCTGTGGCGGAGGCTGTGCTGAGCTCTGCAGCCCCGTGGGCTTCTGTCCTGGGCACACAGGAGGCCCACCCTGGCAGCAGGTGGCCAAGTTCTGCCCAAAGCCACCAGGTGCTCCACGGACAGGCCTGGTGCCTGAGGCCCCTCCATGTGACGTCTCATCTCTCTCTTCTCCTGGTGGCTGCCCACCGCAGGGGCCCTGTGGGACATGAAGTCCCTGGCAAAGCCACACAACGGAACTTCCTGCCAGCCACCCACCCTAGGGGCTGCCAAGCATTGAACTGCATGGTGGCTTAATGTAGTGCGTTTTAAGGTGAATTGAAGCAGTCAGGTGCACCTCATGGCCACTGTACCAGACGGTGCAGTCCAGGGGATGGCACGGTGGTGCTGCCAGAAGAAAAGAGCTCAAGTTCCTGAGTGGAGCCTGCCCCTCCTTACCCTCTGCCGATCACATCTGGCCGTGACTTGAACACAAAATAACGTCCTAGGTTTAAGATCCTGAGTGTTCTGTTGTTTGTGACAGCAGTTAGTCCATTGTGACAAGTAAAATTATCTCTTAAGAAGCAAAAGAATAATTATTTCCTACCATGGAAATGTATCTAGGAATTTCTGAAACACAATTTTCAAAAATACCTTTGATGCTTTAAAAAGTGAGGTGCCCATTTGCAAATAATTACAATTTTCCATAACACTATCGTTATGGGAATTATTCTAGTTTACTTCTTTTATATATGAGAATAAGTGTGGTTATCAGACCGACTTTTGTGAATGTATATATTCCCAGGTTTCCCACCTTTGGACTGTAAGGCACAATGCTGGCTGGCACTTTTTCGAAAACTGACATGTTTGAGCAAAGCAGAAAAGGGTCACTGAGCTGCCAGGGATTATCAGCAGCACTTCCCGGAGAGTGAGGCGGAGCACTGCGGGCTGACTTGAGGGCGTCCCCCCGGGCCCTGCCGACCAGCCCTTCCACTCGCCTTGTACTTCCCAAGGTAAGGGTGTCGGCCCCCAGTTATCAGCATGTCTTCTCCTCGCTCCAGGACGCAGCGGACCGCGCGGCCGTGCCTGAACAGAAGTGCAGGGGTGAGTTCTCCCTCACAAGGGCCTCCCCGGTGGCACAGCTCGGGTCCACACGCAGCCTCCCCAGGACTCCAGGCTCTGTCACACAGCCTCGCTGGCCTTGCCTTCAGTGGCCTCCCCTCCCTCTGGGCCCGGGCACGACGCCCACTTCCACTACTCCTTGGAGGGTGGCTCTGGGCATTTCGGTGGGCATTGCCCTCTGCTGTGGGAAAGTGGCCCCAAGGCCACATGTTAGACTGGTGACAAATGGCAACACTAGGTGGGTCTGGACAAAGGTTTCGTCCTCCCCGGGATGGAGGGCCTGGTGATGCCAGGGGCAGGCAGTTTCCCTGGTGCTGTTTCGAGACCCTCAAAGGGAGTCAGCGACTTAATGAACGCAATCCTAGCAAGAGCAGTGCCCTGAATCAGTGCTGCAGGTCTCGCCCGTGACGACGGCAGGCACAGCCAGCCAGCAGGGGAGGAGGCCAGGACCTGCTTCCTGTCCACGCTCCAGTACTGTACTGTTTCTGCCATGGCTTTTACTCCTTTCAGTGGTGGATTCTTATTTATTCTCACAGCACACAGCAGGACAGCTGAGACTAAGGGGACGGTGCAGCTGTCAGCCGGTCTGCGTGCCACGCGGGTTTTATGTGACTTTGGTTCTGCTTCTTTCTTGTTAATCTTGAGCTGTTTTTTTATTTTTTTGGTACAGGGGGGTCGAACTTGGGACCTTGCGCTTGTGAAGCAGGCAGTGGCACCGAGCTAGATCCCTGGCCCGATACTGAGTTTTGTTGTGGCTTCATCGTACCTCTGGTGAGCCGTGGCAGGCAGTTTCTCCACTTACTTGTGGGCGGCAAATGCAGTGATGGCTGCCATGATGCTGGTTTTGATCACCTTTCCCCCGAACGCCCCCCCAACACGCCGCACGTGGCACATGACCTTGTTAGCCGGGAGCTTCAAGGTCGAGGCAACGATATCCTGGGAATGACAGCAGTTTTCAGCAAGGACTCGCCACTGCCCCACGACCTTTAAGCAACTGTCCCGTGAAGCAGAAGTGTGACAGTTGCTACACACTGCAGCAGTGTGCTGACACACGAGCCATGCGCTGTGCTGAGAAGCAGAAGAAAGCCCAGTAACTTCAGCCAGCCTTGCCCGCGCATCTCAGTGACACCTGGCCGCAAGGACACCACCGGGACTACTGCTGAGTAGCCAGCCCTTCACTAGCTGCGGGACAGTTCTACTCCAACTTTTTATGTTTTCCCCACGAACCACACCCAGAGTGCCCATCCCGGATCCCAGGGCTGTGTTTTCTGCAGAGTAACGCTGGGGTCCTGCTTCCCTGCTGGTCCTTTTCCTGCCGGGCGCTGACCCCTCCCATTTCCTCCCCAGGTCTTCCCCAGATTTGAGTCCTATTCTTCTGCCCCCCCAATGTTTAGTGCCCTTTAGTCCTAACAACCAATTTATAGCTGGGGAGCCAAGGTAGATGGGGAGGGGCAGCAGAGCAGCACTGGGCCGGAGGCCACCTGGCTCCGGCTCTGTTGACAGCACTGGCCAGCTCTGCAGGATCGAGCCCACGCCCTCTGCTCTGCTTCCTTCTCCTCCTGGTGCCTGACTCCCAGCTCCTAAGTGCGCCCTTCAGGCTGCTGCTCTCCAGGACCCTGCCCCCTCCCATCTCCCTGCTGCCCAGGGCTCAGGCTGCAAACAGCAAATGTGCGGATGGCTGAGGGCACCGTCCTGCTGTGAGAGGGACTGGAAATGGCCTCTTCCCCTGCCCCCCACAACTCTGACTGCAAATCCAACTTGAAGCCTCCTCCTCTGGGGCCTGCTGGTGACTCAGCTTGGGCGCCCGTCCTTTCTCCTGATTCCTGCACCCGCTTGCACACTGCCTTGACTGGCTGGGCCTGGCCACACCCTCTCCATGCTGCTCCCTAATTCCTCCGAGTCCGTGCTGTGTGCTTGGGGCAGGGCAGGCCGCCCTCTTTTGTCTTGTTTCCTTGACTGTACCAATATCAGAGCAAGACATGTGCAGACGGCCTAATGGGTTCTGAAGTTACAGACCCACAAACAGAAGGCACCTCTTTTAATAAAACTCTTAAAATGGGGAAGTTGTGTGGCCAGATACCCACCCACATCAATATGACTGTTAGCACTCAATAGTTCCTCAGCTCCTGAGCAATGACCTTTGTTTGGCCTCTAGTCACTCTGGCACATATCCGGGCAGAAATCACCTGTCCCTGTCCTCACACAGCACCCCACGTACCTGGATGTACTTGGGGAACTGTGTGGACACATAGATGTCCATCTCCTGGTCCTCTGCCTTGGGAATGGCAAGCATGCTTTGAGTCTCCATGTAGAAATGCTCTTGACCACCCATGTGGACCTCACCTGTCAGGAGAATACTGGACAGCTGAGGTGGCAGCCAGAACAGCGGTGCCCGGCTGTCACCCGTGAGCCATCAACCAGCAGCATCGGCAATGTGTGGCCTCCGCTACGTCCATGGAAGGCAGGACCACAGAGTGAGCCCTGAGGAAGGCACGTGACTGTCCAGGGTCAGAACACCACGGCGAGGTGACGTGCAGCTCCCAGACAGGATGGGAGGGATGAGCTTCTCCCTGCCCCGTCACATGCAGCTGGCCACCCTGCGCCCTGTCTACAGGCAGTGTGGAAGCTGACTCCACTAATGGGGTCACTGCGTCAAACCCAACTAGAATGGTGTCAGGAGGGCGTGGGACGAGACGCTGAGGTCACATAGTCCTGTCCCCAAACCATCTCAAAAGCCCAACCCAAAGCCACAAGGGCTGAGGCGGAGCCCCGAGAGCCTCCGCTGATGCACAAGGTAGAGACACCAGCGCCCCACACTTCCCCGCCTCCTCTTCCCCATGAAACCCTAACTTTTCCTTTGTGCTCTGGACACAGCAGAGGCTGCCCCATGAGACTGCAAGTCTCCTTCTTGTGTATTATTCCCAAACAAACCCTCCCTCAGAGGACTGACAGGCAGAGAGAAGAAGGCGACACACAGGGACAGCACGACCCCGGTGAGGCACAGCTGTGGGCACTGGTTTGCGGTTCTTATCACGTGCCTCGTGCGTGAGTCCTGGCTTTGCAGAAGCCAGTGATCCAAAACCGCTGGCAGAGGTGGAAGAAAGCGCCACAGATACTGATTCTCAGTAGTCGAGGCTCAGCAGAAGGTGTCTAGGAAGATCAGCTACCGAGAGACAGCACACACCTAACCTAGCTGAGCCTGGCAGAAACTCAGAGACTGCCCAACCTGCGGGGGGCCCATGTCCCTATCAGGCTGTGACAAGCACTCTAGTTCTGCACCAGGAAACTGCACCTCCACCCCACCTGGCAACAGCAAGTGTCAGCCCCTCCTCCCCGCCAGCATGGAATCTGGTCCAGTAGAGAAGATTCTAACCAGCCCCAGAGCCCTGGGACAGAAACCCAAAATGTCCTGGACGTACGATGAAGTCACTCATCGCTCCAAGCACCAGGAAAATCTCAGCTTCCTCGAGAAAAGACCAAGAGCAGCCAAGATTGAGGTGACCAGAGGCTGAGACTGCGGACAAGGACCCAAAGGAGCCATCGGACAAAAGCCCTCAGGACAGCGATCCAAATACAGAAAGTTTGCAAAGAAACAGAAGGCAAAAATACCAAAGGGAAATTTCACAACTGAGAAATACTGTGCAAGAACTGAAAATTTAAATACTTCACGGAGGGGCTCAACAGCAGGACAGAGAACAGAGAAAGTGACCAGAGAACAAGAGCAAGAAAAACAGAAACCGGCCAAGCTGATCACAGGAAAAACAGACTGGAAAAACATGGCTGGAGCCTCGGAAACCATGTGACCAAATAAAAGACCCGACATTTGTGTCATGGAAGCCAAGCGCTAAAGGAAATAATGGCCGGATCTTCTTAAACTTGGCAAGAGACACAAACCCACGGACTCAAGATGCTGAGTGACCCCAGCTGAATAAATCCAAAGAAATCCACACCTAGACACTTCATATTTGAACCTCAGAACACTAAAGACAAAAGGGAAGAAAACACTTTCTTGAAAGCAGTGAGAAAAACACCCCCTCGACTGGGGGAAAGCGCTTTGAGAGAAGCCATTTTCTCAGCAGAAGCCAGGGGGCCAGAGGAGTGGACCACATTCAGAGTGCTGAGAACATCAGCAAGAAAGAGTGCATGACAAAAAGAATAAAAATACGGTAGCTTTCTTTTCTCCCCTTGAGTTTTAAAAATTATGTCCAAAACAAAACTATAGGATTGCTTCACATGGTTCCAGTGTGTGCACAGGAATCAGAGACAGTCATCAAGTGGATGAGGGGTGGAGGGGACAGAAGGATGGAAAAGGAGGTGAGCTTCTACGCGTGACTTGCACAGAGAACGCTGTGACAGTCTGTGGTTAGACAGAGAAACATCAAGAGCTGCCGCAGGGCGACATGCTGCAACATACTACAACACTCCAGCACGGAGTTCTAGAACTACCAGGGAACCGAAGGTCACTGGGGGCGGAATGAAAGCAAGGAATGAGCAGTACAAATGCGAGTGGCCATCACGTGTAGGTGGGAGGCAGAACTTCTTAAAATTAAAAAATGGACCCAGTAATAGAGATTTATCAACTGCCTGAGGGATATTCCCTTGGAAATATTTTGTGCTGGACTCCTATCTTCTCCATGATCTCACTGAAGAAACAGCAGAAAAAAATAAGACTCAGAGTAAACATCTCGCACATACCCCCAAAAGTGAGGAAAGCATGCAGAAAACCAGCAGATTCTGCCTCACTTACAGGACAAGCACATTCAAATTTCAAGCGCTCAGATCCTAACTTGAGGGCAGCTTCTACCAGAGCAGAGAACCCAGCCTGCTGTCCCTGAAGCAAGCCCACACAGCGCCTCGGAGCCTCCGAGTTTGCTTTGTGAAACCTCGTTTGACTGAAGGGCGAGCCAGAGCCGCGGCTCTCGGGCACCGAGATGGTACGTGCCGTTGGAACCCTGTGGGGATGGTGCCCGGTGTCGGGCGCCTAACTCCAAGGGTGACGGTCACACCACGAGCCAGCTCCAGGCCCTCTGGGCTGCTCCGTGCCACCCTCTCCCGAGAGCTTTACCTTCCAGAACCTGATCCACTGTCTTGAACGCCTCTTCCACGTCTCCACACTCCAGTTTCCTCTCCCCCTCGAAGAAGGACTTGTGCTGGACAGCTTCCTGGAGAGAAGGGAAACTGAGGCCAGCTGGGGACCAGGACCCTGCCCGCAGGAGCGCAGTGCTGCCCACAGCCGGACTGTGGCACAGGAGCCAGCTGGTTTCTCCTGTCTCTGCACTCCACGCCTGCACTGCCCACCCTGAATCATGCGCATCCTGAAACCCCCACCTGCGGCCACGAGGATGCTCCAACCCTGGCCACCATGGGCTGCCCCTCCTGGCCACCTAACAGGGATGCTCGTGTGACCCTGCCATTTCCCCCACCGAAAAGGGTGTCTGTGTTTTTACCACCAAAGGACCCAGGCTCCGAGACAGTGTTTGTCGACTGGCCCTGTAACAGCCAGCTGTGTGGCATAGGTGACCTCAGCAGAGGGAGGGTAACCCACAGGGCTGCCGTGAGCAGCAGGGAGTTGCTGGGTGGGACGATGCGGAGCCCTGCGGTGGGCAGGGCGTGGAGGTTGGGGGCTCATTGACTGCAATCCGTGCATCTCAGCCGTGCTGGACGAGGGCCCGGCTAGGGCTCCCCGACACCATGAGGTCTCCCAAGTGCACAGCAGGTGAAACCTTGGCGTGAGCGAGAGGGGTCTGTGTTTCAGTCACAGCTTAAGTTATTTGTGACACTGCAGGTTTAGCACTGGTTGGGCCTGCGCCCCACAGCCAGAGTGTAACCGGCACCACACGCAGCAGGCAGATGGGGACGCTGAGCAGGGTCACAGGACACAGCCCCAAGCCCGTCGGCTCCCTCCTGCACACACGTTTTCCTTTCCCAGCCTTTTGCTGATCGACACGGAGCTTCTTGCTGGGATCCATTCACACGCTTTCTGCTAGGCAGACTCTGGTGCCCCAAGTTGAAAAAGCAGCTCGTTTTGTAAGTCCCACCCTTACGTTTAATCTTTTCAGCTTCACTTGAGCAGTGGAGTCGGTGTCCTAATGTCCTGGTGGGGAAGGTGCGAAGGGACTGGGAGCCAGCAGAGCATGGTCAGACCCACCTGGGTCCCCTCGAGGCTGGGGTCTGTTTGTTTGGATTTTTATTTGGCTGGGAGTAGGAAAGGGAAGGGTGGACATTTAAACCACTGGTATCCAGCGGAGAATTTCAAACAAAGTTTGGATGAAGTTTTGAGTGAATAATTGTTGAACAGGAAGTAATTTCAACTCAGAAGCAGTGCTTGGGGGAGGAACACACAGTGGGCAGGAGCGTCGGCGGGGAAAGGTGGGGAGGACCACAGCGCTGGCTGACACTGGCCAGGAAATTCTCCAGCCCATTCGTGCCTTAACCACAGCCAGATTTCTAGATTCTTGTCTACTTGGCTTGATTTCATTTTTGAAAATTTTGGTAAAAAGGAAAAGGGATTTATTCAAAGCTAGTTCTCAAGGAGATGAAGGGTTCTATTGGCATCAGATCACCATTTCATCTTGGACTCGTGGGTTGGGGTCTTTTGGAGCAAGTGACAGAGAGCAGGAGGGGACACAGACAATGCAGCCCACGCCTGCTTTGCCACTTCGAGCCATCTTTAAATCCATGTCCCCTTTCCTGAGAGAAGGACACTGGAATCTGTCTCCTGGGACCTGCGTGTGCATATTCTGTCCTTTGTTTGTTTGTTTGTACCGGGGATTGAACTCGGGACCTTATGCTTGTGAAGCATTCTGTCCTCTTTTCTGGGCTGAGGAGAGGAGCGGGAGGTGGACTATTGGTTATGTGCTCAGCAGGATAAAGTCTGAAAAAGTTGCTTATCTCTAGAGGGAAAATCCAGGTTTTAAAGTTCCATTTTGAGGTGTTGGTTACACTAGGACACAGTGCCCAGGGTTGCGCATCACCATTAACACCACAGATTCCTCTGCCATCGCGGAACCACTTGAAGCAGAACTTTTGGCAGAAGGCTATTCATGGATCTCACCTTCCTTCCACTAACAGAAATGGGAACAGTTGTCCAGAGTATCCTTCACGAAGCCTAGTGGCCTCACTAGATATTCCTTCAGGTCGACATACCCAGTTCACCAGTGAAATGGAACTGAAATTTGCTCTTGAGGGAGACACATAGGATAAGCCAATCCAGTTTCTTACGGTTTCTCATGCAACCAGCACTGGAAACCCAGTCCTGAGATGCCATGGAGAAGATCAGCCTTTGGGATGACACGCAAGGGAGCAATCTCTGTAACTAATGCACGCTTCGGTGTTCTAAATACTTGGGGTAAAAGAGGAGCCTTTGAACGGTTGTTCTGCTCTCCATTTCTGTCTCCCTTAGCTTGAATCCATTTTAATTTTAAAATACTAAGGAAATTTTCCAGATACAGTTGTTGTGTTCCTAGGTGAGACCCCAAGGCCGGGCTCCTCTGCAGACAGTGACCCCGCCCGGGTCAACCCCTCCTTTCTGCCTCTGAGGACGGTTCGAGGGTCAGGCCGTCCCCAGAGCACGAGGGATGTGCACCAACCGCATCCAGTCTGCATGAGCAGCTTCCCCTCTTATCACTCAGGACGTTGTAGGAACTAAAGGGCTGTCGCAGAAGAGCACTGTCACCTCACAGAGGTGTCTTACAACCCCACATTTCCAACCATGATCTAAAACCTGGGGTAGCAAATGCAATTCCACTGTCTGAATTTCCCACGCGCCTGTGCCTCGAATCCCTCAGTGTGCGATAGAGGATCTAAAAGCAGAGCTGCAGAACTTGCCTCAGGGCATCTGATGGGGCTCCCTGGAGCAGCACCGAGAAGGTGGGGGAGTGGAGTTTCAGGAGGCACCTCCCAGGCCCTGAGGCGGTGCCCGGGCTCCTCTCCCACCTGCCTGGCAGTGCCCACATCTCTCCCCACGTTCCCATGAAGCCCCGAGCTCCAGAGAATCTGCCCACTCGAGGCCCACCATCGGCCTCCACTTTCCGTGTGCCCCGAAAGGTCTAGTTGGGCGGGACAGCAGGACCCTCCAGTGGGACTTGACCCAGAAGCTGCTTCCTGGCCCTGTCTTGGAGCACAGGGGACGGGATGGGGGTTGGGGGTGCCTGGAATCCCGGATGTGGCCTGGGGCCAGCGGAGGCTGGTTTGGGAGCCGCTGGGGCTGGGGCTGGGCCTTCCTGTCCCTGGGAGAGCTTCCTAACAGACTGCTGCTGTCCACCCTGCCCGAGCTGGCCGGCCGGGGGTGCCTCACCTCAACCGTGAGGATCAGTGGCTCCAGGTCCTTGTAGACGATGCGCACTTTCTCAGCAGCTTGTTTTGCCTGAACCTCAGAATCTGCGATGATGGCACAGACAAGGTGACCCACACACAGCACCTGGGACCGAGACCTCTGTCACTGGAGCACCCTCTCCCTCCATGCGTCCCTCCCTCCCACATGGGCAGCTGCACACAGTGAGCGACTGCACCCCATCCCTGAGTCCTGGGCAGGGAGGGCCACACAGCCAAGCTGACCCTAGCTCCCGGCCAGCCGAGGGCCCCTGAATGATCAGGGCCATCCTGCACCAGGCTGAGCTCAGTGGGGCTCAGGGGTGGCTCGAAGAGCACTGTTCTGTGACAACACCACATGGGCCTCTGCCCGACCCATACTGGGGCCAGGCCTGTCAGGAAGGGCCGGGACCTCGGAGGCTGAGCATTCCCTCAGCAGACTGTGACCAGCCACTCTGTCCCCCACCCAGGACAGATGGGAGATAGGTGGGTGGGCAGGAAATGAACAACACCAAGACCGGAGTCCTCTACCACCTCGCACCACACACGACTCACACTCAAAGCTCCTCACTGGGCCTTAGCCTATTTGTAGACTATTCTGTCTTTCCACAGGGGTGGGACTTGTATCAAAACCAGTGCAATGAAGCCGGGGAGGAGCTCGGCTGTGAGCACTGGCTGAGCAGGAGGCCCAGCTCCTCCCAGTACCACAGTCCAGCAGTGCTGAGCACCAAGTGCAGCCCTGGACCGTGGGTGGGCAGCATGGAGAGGCTCACGCCGGATTCTGGGCGAGCCTGGGCCGGGGTCCACAGCCCCGCAGGACTGCAGTCGTCTGTGTTCACAGCCTCAGCAATGCCATTTATTGAAGCCATGACGGGCTAAAAACCAATGTTAAAAGGGAACTGAACCCAAGGCACCATCCGAGAGCACTGTTCCTGGCTTTGAAGGCCCCGGGCTTTGCCTGTGGCCATGAGGACCTGGCACCCAGGCTGAGACACAGGGCACTTAGCAAGCCTGTCAGGGCCACAGCCCAGTGTTCACTGCTCAGTCAGTGAACACTCAGGTCACAGCCACTCGCAGCCCTGCCCTGGGGCGGCTTCAGTGGACTTCAGATGTTGGTTTTTGTCAACTAGATCTGCCAGACAGAGCCGGAGCAGGGCCGGTTCCAAGTACGAGCCTTGGGGAGGTCAGAGCTGTGTGGAACCTGCGTTTCCTGGTCACTGGGCTTTGGTGCCCAAGTCCAGTATCTGATGCATTCTGGTGGCAGCTGCTTCTCTACAGCACCAGCTGCGCTGGGAGCAAGGCGTGGGAGACTGGAAGGAATTGGGCAAGAGCCTCACCCCGGAAGGGCTGGGGTGGGAGGACTAAAAACGAGCTTCACACAGAACAGGACACATTAAAGAGTCTCCTCTGAAACCAGACATAACAGATGCTCACTTAAACTCTCCCAGGCCTAGTGTGGTGGTTAAGCTCAGCACTCTGGAGGCTGAGGCAGGGGGATCGAAGGTTCTGGCCAGACCACAGTCTGGCAACTTAGTAAGACCCTGACTCTAAATAAAACAAAACAAAACAAAGCAAAAATGCCCACTGAGCAAAAGTCAGTGGGAATGGGAGGGTCAGGATGAGTTCGGGGGGACTCCAGGGGGAAACATGTGGGGATGCCCTGTGAACCTGAGCTTGACTCTGGGACACACCGGGCCTAGAGCAGCAGCAAGGGTGTCAGGGAGGCATCTCGAGCCAGAGCGGCCAAAACTCCCGTCCACTGTTCTTCCAGGCCTGGTGGCAACACACTACATTACTACTAGGACCTTCTATGTAACTCGCCTATTTCCTTACTTCTGTGGAAAGTGAGCCTATTTTGAGCTTATTCAACAGCTATTAGAATACGATGTTTTATCATAAGCCAAGTATATCAGAGTCTTCTATGATGCACGGAATCAGGTGTTATCGCTGAGAAAACAGAAAATACAGCTAACCTGCTTTCAAACAAGAAGTAACATCACAGTGGGCCCTTGACTTACAAACTCAATTTATTCCCAAGGGCTGGTTGTAACTCAATTTGGTCAGAGAAGGCTCAGACTCCTCTCCACAGCCTTCAAAGTCTCTCTCCTGTGCACAGCAGATCTCAGTGTTCTTAGAGAGCACTGGCCCAGGATTTCTCAGTGAGCCCCACATAGGCAAGGATACTGTCATGTTCCTTCCAGAGCTCTTTAAGGGTTAAATCTATGTCTGAGACCATCTGGGAGCAACAGTTGCTGGCATCTGGGTCATAAGTCAAGACTTTGTTCATAAGTTAAAACTAAAATTATATGGCCAGGATTTAGCTCAGTGGTTCTGCTGCCTGCCTTGCAAGTGCAAGGTCCTGAGTTCGATCCCCGGTACCAAAAAAACAAAAAACCAAACAAAAAACCCACTAAAATTCTGGTCGTAACCCAAGCTGCTCGTATGTCAGGACAGTCATGACTCAAGGGTCCACTGTACCTTGTCTGTCGCCAGCAATGTCTCTGTGGAGAAGGAGTTTACGTCCCCAAGGTGCTTGCTCGTCACGATGTCCACCACGCCCGGCAGGCTGAGAGCCTCTGACAGATCCATGGAGCTGGGGGACACAGGGCAGCCGCAGTGCGGGGACCAGGAGAATGTGGTGAGCAGAAGTGAGACACGAGAGAGGGAGGACATGTCAGAGCCCTGCTCCAGAACGCTCTGCCCGGCACGGGGACAGATCTGGGGACCATGAGGCTTTGAGTGTAGCAGGGTGGAGCGGAGTGTGGCAGACCCTGCGTTTCTGCCCCACCTCCCCCCGTCCTCACCCCACAGTCCCCTCTCCCCACCCTTCGTCTGCACTAACGTGACTGGGCCATGGGAAGCCAGTCTCCCACGCCTGCTGGGTAGGAGACTCACACGATAGCAGCATGGGCTCTCGAGCTGGTCACAAAGGTCAGGAACAGCTCCTGGTCGACCGCGGGCATGTCGTCGCAGTAGACGGCCTCCCCGGTGGCATGTTTGACCCCGGACAGGTGCATGACAGGGCGGCCAATGGGGTCCTGAGGAAGCTGCTTGGGGTCCGTGTTCTGTATGAGAAGAAATTGGCACACACTTTTTAGATTCCTATCAGGAAGGCAGAACAATCATTGTGAGCTTCTCCCAGAAGAGGATGGCTGTGAGCTACATACATCAGAGTGCGTCCGAGAGTAATAGTCCCTACTCGAAGTCACCAGGACAACAGGCATTAAAATACCCAGCAGCAAACTGGAAGGTGTGGCCACCCGTGGGGTTTCCCCACTTGGTCTTGAATGTGTAAGTAAATGGGTTTAAACATTTCTTTCTTTTTTTTTTTTGGTACCAGGGATGGAGCTCAGGTCCTTGTGCTTACGGGGCAGGTGGCAGAATCACTGAGCTAAATCCCCGGTCCTTAAACATTTCTTTCTGATGACACAAAGTCATGTTCACTCGCTAATGTTCATGTATTTGTTTAAACGGCATCGCTGAGTTCTTCTCACTGCTGTCTGTTGTGGTGCATGTCACAGCGCGGTGTGCCACAGCACAGCATGTGGGGACAGCTTCACAAAAACTCTGAGGTGACTTCAAGCAGAGTGGCATTTCTGTCTACCTGGAGGGAGGGAATCTAAAGCAGGGGAGAATCACTTCGCTCAGACACCTGGGGCACACAGTGTCACTGCAGTTCTCTGTGAATCTGAACGGGGGTCCAACCAGCGCCGAGTGCAGTGACAACCCCTGGGGTTCACAGCGAAAGACAGCACTGGCGCCACCCTGTTGGCCAAGGGGGCAGAAGCAGAGACAACGTCTACAATGGGAACGGCGCAACGCGGCTGCAAGATGCACACTTCCACCTCTGCTCAGCTGAAGGGGCGGGGCCTTTTTCATGTCCTTGTCCACTGTGCACCTGCCTTTGCCAGCCAGCACCCATCCAAGTCCGATGACCTTGGTCCACCTGTCCTGGGCCACAGCCGGCAAAGTCGGTCACACCCGGGCTGCGATGGCAACAGGGTGCTGCCCAGACACGGAGGCAGATGAACGCGTGGGGAAAACACTCATGAGGGCTGAAGCCGCTCCAACAACACCGACGCTGGTGCAGGTACGAAGAGAGCTGGAAAAGGAAGAGCAGAACTGCGCAGGGCGCACTGCCAGATCACCTCCTGACGAGGCCCGGGAGGCTGCTCTGCAGGCCTGAGTGCCCGTGTGCGCTGCTCCACTCTGAAATCTGTCCCGGTTCAAGGCGACGCCAGGGATCTCTAAGTCAAAGACTGTAGTTGCCATATTCAACCGAACGCCAGGTTTGTAACTTTCAAAATGTTTACTTCCCGTGCAGTCTGATGTATTTGAATTTTTAAAAAACCTCAAGGAATATACAGCAACTTCAGCATTCACTGCAACGTACCGTAAGCTTCTGTGACTAATCCAATCCCAGATTCAATGAGCTTAGGTTTAAAAACTCTCTTCCTATTCTTGACTTAATAAAACTCTCAAGGTCAAATTTCTTGATACTAATGTCAAGGAGAAACATGCCAGTCTTATCCAGTGTAGCAGCAGGATGGTTTCAGCTAGTATTTGCTGATGTTATCACAGAACGCTCCATGTGGAGTTAGGAGTGTAGTTCTCCTAACAGGCAGGCTTGCAGACAGCTCTTAGGACTCCTGTCTGATCTGACTAAAATGCACTCACGGAAGAGCTGCAGGACAGGAGGGCCGGGGAGTGAAGGAGCGTACAGTGCACAAAGAAAGCAGCAGCTCTGGTAAACAGCATCCCTGCATTCCTGCCGCCTCCGGGGCCAGAATGAACCCATGCAGCCCAGGGCCTGGCACACAGACCGCCCTGGGTCTCACGCTGACATTGGGAGCCGGGCAGGCCAGCTGGCTCACTCACGTGGGTGGCACAAGGACACAGGACAACACACAGGGCTCTGAGGGCCACACATTTCCCTTCACAGTCCCCACTGCTGCATTTGCTTTTGGTCACAACTCATAGGTTTTGACACTTTTTTCTAAAGCTGGGGATCAAATGGAGGGCCTCGAGCACACTAGGCAAGCCCTCTACCACTGAGCCATCCCCGCAGGGTTTTGAGATTTTAATTTTAATCAGCACTAAGAGACACTGTGAATTCACCTGATGGCAGCATGGGCTTATTGAGCTGGGAGTCCCTGAGAGGCTTAGTCTCTCTGAATAAGCAAAAGTCCCTCACCTGGTACCTGAACGTTCCCCGGCCATGTCTGTGCTCGGGGTGGAGGTCTTCTAACGCGCTCTCGTACTTGCCCACCAGGCTGGGATAGCGACCCGGGTCCTGGAAGGCAGGGTTATGGCAGATGCTTCACATACCTTCCAGTGGGCCGGGATGATGTGGGGAGGGAGACAAGTGGGGCCCTTGGTCAGCACCTCACCCTGGGCTCTGACGCCCTGCCCTGGGGCCTGGAGTGGAGGCGACCCCTGGCCCCCGCGCCCCTGCAGGGAACATGAACTCCCAGGGCACAGGAGTCACACGGACCCATGGGCTGCTGGCGTCCACTGTGTACATGTCCATCCTGGTCCCCTTAGTACTGTTTCCTGTGTGATCTGAGGATACGCAGCAGCAGCACAGGAAGAGAGAAGCTAAGTCAGGAAACAGGAGGAGAGTACGGAAACCACAAAGAGCTTGGAGCCAGTGACACCACCACAAACACCCATGGTTCCATGATGGACTGGAGGGGTCAGAGGCAATGTCCCTGGCACCACCCACAGGACACACACGGTCCCCAGGAGAAGCTGGGACTGAGGAGGGTGGCCACTCAGGCCCCTACACAGGCTTTAATCGATGTCCCTGATGGTTAAGTTTTATAACTTGAATAAGTTTTTGATTTTTTGGTACCAGGGATCAAACTCAGGACCTTGCGCTTGTGAGGCAGGTGGCAGAACCACTGAGCTAAATCCCCGCCCCTATAACTTAAATAATTTTAATAGAAAGGAATGCCAACAAAGGTTATTATTTTTCAAGAGAGGAAGCTCGGATGGAAGGTACAAGACTTTAAAGTAGAAGTTTTAAATTAAAGCACTTGATTCACCAAGCAATTGGATTCATTTGTGATCGAGGGGAGGAGTCCTCAACTGGCTGTATTTTTTCACTTTTGGTGACTTAGTGACAGTGTCACTCACATATGATCTGAGGTTTGTGTTCTAAAAAGCTGAGTGAACCTGTGGGTCTTGGTTGTTCCCATCTATAATGAAAAGACACCTTCAAAAGTAATGAGGAGAGAGGAGCACGTGTCTCCTAGGTGAAGTCATGCTCTGATTTCCACAGCACACAGAGTGGGGCAGTCAGCCAGGTGTGGCCCAGGGTTAATGGGGACAGTAAGGCTTCCGTTCCCTGTGGCTCTGGCAGGTTTTCTGGAAGGTTCTCTTTCAGCTGTGTTCTCCCTGGCACACAATCTTGGGAGTCTGACTGTTGTAAGTGGGACCAGGAGAAGGAGTGACCCCCAGGGGGCAGGTCCTCTGACACACGAGGACCACAGTGAGCCCCTTCCCCAGGATGACTCTGTCACCGTCTTCCCCTGTGAGGGAAATGAAGCTGAACAGAGGACAGGAAGTCGGGTGAGAGAGTGTGTCCCTGCCAGCAGGTGCTGAGCACCATCTGAGCAGCAAAGGGCCAGGAACAGAACAAGGGCAGTCAACGGAACCTGCCTACTCGCACTGGAGCTGTGGGGATCCCAGGGCACCCATCCACCTCGCCTCAGGACCCCATGACGCTCATGTCTCCAGCGCCAGGAGGCTAGGTCCCACAGAGAGTGGGAGCCACCAGGCCACCTACCATGTGGCTCAAGCCCTGGGACACCTGCAGGTAGAACCTGAAGAGGAAGCTGACCAGCAGGGTCCGCCTGAACTCCACCCGGCCACCAGGGGCCGAGCCAGGGATGGTGACCTCGCCCAGCACCAGCCTGCAGGCCTCGTCCAGCGTCTCTTCACTCCAGGACCTGGGGGGGGAAAGGACAGGACTCAGCCTCTCACAGGCTCCGCTACTCTGTGGGCGGAGGACCCCGGCCCAGCACGGGACCATGCAGGGTCAGCTCAGGGCCAGGCATCACCATCCACAGGGCGTGGCCTGGCCTCCCCACCCTCCCTTGCGGCCCACGGCTGCAGTGACCCTTCCGTCACCAGGACATTTGATCACGCCAGGTGCTGCGTGGGTCTGCACTCGCTCAGGTCTCTCAGCTGCCTGGGTGTGACTATCCATGTATGACAGAAAAGGAAACTGAGCTACCAGGAGGTTAGGGGAGCTGACGGAGCTCAACACTTGCCTCGGTTCATTAAAACCAAGACACGGAATAGTCATGGACTCTCACTGGATCCCTGCCACTAACAGGAGGTCTGAGCATTTCAGCCCTTTCTCCTGTGCACCACGTCTCACCACGGATCAGGCCACTGCTACCCGAGTCTCGGGACACGCCTCTCACCTGCCAACGAGCTTCCGGCAGGCATCCCTGGCACAGATGGCGGCCGGGCCGACATTGCCGTACAGGATGGAAAGCTCTGTGATGACGCCGTCCCCTTCCCCAAAGAAGACCCTCATCCCTGCATTCACTATGGCTTGCGCATTCTCTCTGCGCTGAGCTTGCCGGAAGGCGGACACGAACTCCCACTGGAAGACAGGAAAGTGGTGCAGGGAACCAGAGGGGCGAGTCTGCGCTTGGGGAGTGCCAGCCCCGGTACTAGAGAAGAAGGCTGCCCAGGACCCAGGCCGAGGGCCTCAGTGAAACGGGGGCCACAGGCTGAGGGGTGAGGAGAGGGGCTGGGGGCCAAGCAGGGGGCGGGGCCCTGCGAGGTAGCGGCAGACTTCACCAGTGCCAAGGTGCGCCGAGCCGCCCTCTGGGCCCTCCCTCGCTCTCACCCGGGGCTGGGATGGTAGAGATTGAGCTGCTAGGCACAGGAGAGGCCCCACGCATGTGGCTGCTGAGCTCGAGGGCTCGTGGCAGGCTTGGTCCTTCCCATCCCACAAGGCAGCCGAGGCTGGAGCTTATTCAGGACTCGACCTGTGGGCATTGACTCCAAGAACGCCCTGGTCTTTTCCATGAAGTTCAAGTGCAAATCTAACTTTTTAGCCTCTTTTAAGCCCTAAGATACAGAGCTTGATCCTTGTGTGTTTCAATTAGGAAAAGCTTCTGGACAAAGAACTTTGGAATCTCTATTAGAAAGGGTTTGGGGTAGGGGAAGGCAAGAGTCCCCCGAAAATGACCCCTCACGCCACTTCCTGAGGCCTGGCCCCTGTCTCCCCTCTGAACCCCAGGCCCTTTTCCTGAGCCAGCCTCCACGGGAATAACAGCTCAGGCTCACAGGGCCGACCAGGGCGTCCTCACCTTCCGGGAGTAGGGGACAGTCATGGACAGCAAGACCTCCTGGGGCTTGAGATCCGCGCTGGGGCTCCTGCTGAGAAAGTGCTCATCCAGCGGGATCTGCCGTTCCCCCTCTGCAGAGAACAGTCATCTTCAGAGCTGTACTGCCTCCTCCTCCAACAGAAGGGGCGGGGGAGTGGGGTTAGCAGGAGCCCACCTTACCTTTCGACAGCACACAGAGGGTGCAGCTACCTGCAGCCAAGAGGGGGTTCAGATCTGAGTCCGGATGCCTGCTCAAGATGTGGCCCCCTAAAGACTTTTAAAATAAAAAGTTATTTTCACTGCTGCCTTATAATTACAAAACCATAGCACTAAAATAAGAATTAGGCAAGCCTTTGGAGAACGTGTTCCTTCTGCCTCTTTCAAAGAACACAATGATTTCTTCAGGATGATCACCCCAAGCATGCACACCAGAGTGTACTCTCCCCAAACCGTACAGCCATGTTCCTGATCTGGGACCCAGCCAGCGTCCTCAGCTGCTTCAGGAGAGCATGGAATGTCTGCGTCTTCTCTTCTGGGAGCCACTGGACCACATCAGCCAGGACATCCTGCATCTGGGCCAGGCTTAGGCCAGCACCCAGAGTCAGCCCTGAAACAGAGGTGCTTGCAGATAGAGCCATGCGATTGCTGCCAGCCCATTAGACCACAGATACAGGCATGTTATCTGATTACTGGTGGTGGTGGTGGAGGTGATGGAGGAAGAGGAGGTGATGGAAGTGGCAGTAGCAGCAGTAATGGAGCTGATATGGAGCTGAGGAAGGCAAGCTCTCCACACAGTCCCTCTACTGAGCACTACAGTGAACAGTTTTCATGACCTGGAACCAAACTACAGGACACTACTGGCCAGGCAGGAATTCAATCCAGAGGCTACACTGGGATCCTGTTTACAATGCCTTCATCACACCCATCAGACCAACTTCTGTCACAGGAGGAAGCCATTCTGACAGCCTAATACCTCAGCTGGTCCTGCTTGCAAGGGCTTTGGGGAGCACAGACTGTGTTCCATTCAGCCGTACCCTGTGTACTTAGCACAGCACCCTTGCTGAGCAGTTGCTGCGCCTTTCTGACATTACAAAGGTCCCAGTGAACTGCACCTGTTCAGACTGTTCGTAGCGGTGTGACCTCGGGGAACTGCTCCCACGGCCCTCCGGGAGACTGTGGACACTGTTACTAAGGGAGGGTGCTTGTCAGCTGAACAGAGTAATGGACCTGGTCAGCGCATGAGCTAAGAACAGAGGATCTTAGGGACCGACCATTGCATGCATGCTTTATAACACTCAGCTCTTCAATTCCATCAGGAGAAATTATAACCGGGTGGAAGACACCTTTAAATTTCATTTCAGGCCCTAAAAAATTAAAATTAAAAAGGTTAGGATAAAAAGGACCAACTGCCCTTTTAATTTTGCCATTATCATTAAACTGATGTCTTTAAATACATAACACTGCATTTCTTTCACACAGAGAGAATGGCTGGATGGATTTTGGGTCATGTCGCTCCCTCTGAATTCTCTCTGGGGAGACTCTGGGGTGTCCTTAAAGAGGGGGCCAGTCAAGCGCCTTCCGGACACAGCAGGCAGACCCTGAACTGCGATTTCAGAAAGCGTCAGGGAGAGAGGACGGCGTCACCTCGCCGCTGCCACCAGGGCAAGTGGGTGTCACTTTGCATGGCCCGGCCGGCACACAGGGTTCAGCATCAGCGACAGCGCCTCTCTCAGGGCTCGCTGAGGAGGCCGAGCCCAGAGGACTAAAACGCGGCTCCACCCACATCTCCAGGCGAGGCCTCCCAGCGAGCTCACTTGTTCCACACCAGACCAGACCCGGCCTGCATACCCACGGAGGTGTTGCCCATGACCAGCGGGGCGTGGGGGAACTTGGACTTGGCTTCCAGAAGGCCCTCCAGGGTCACCGGGGAAATCCAGGTCATTCTGTCCCCCGTAAACACCCGGGGGGTCCGCGGCTGCTTCTCAGCCAGTATCTGTGGGAAAAGCGAGAGGGGCTCAAGCTGACTCCTGACGGCATTTCCACAGGCTTCCGCTGTCGCTGCAGGGGCGAGGAGGCAAAGGCAGATCTTTGGGAAGAGGCACCCAGCAGAGCCGCCCAGGAACTGGGGCTCAGGGAAGGCCCGGCAGCTGCAGCGCTGGGCTCCACGGAGCTCCCTGGGGGCTCCTGTATTGTGCTTTGTACTCCCATCGACGCCCTCGTGCTCTCCAGCCGTCTGGAAGAGTGAGCGGCACTGACAGGAGGCAGAAGCGTGGCCAGGCCAAACGAGTGGACCGCGTGGCTTTCGTGGACGCCAGCCACAGCTTCAGACAGCACTTCCCTCCCCCTCCTCACGTCTCCCGCTCTGCAGCTAACCCTCCCCAGGAGCCCCGGGACGGGACCAGCACCACCTTCTCACCATCAGCTCGGGAGGAAATATCAGCTCCTGAGTTGGGTCCAACGGCAGAAACTCCTCTTCCGAGAAGAGCTTTGGACTCATCTTAAAAGACAAAGGACCAGAAGTCACCATTACCCCTGCTTCTTGTTCGCAGAGAACAGGTTCCAAGACCCCCAGCGACGCCTGGAACCGCACACCGAATCAAGCCCGATGGAGACCGCGTTTTCCTGCTCGAAGTCCCAGCAAGCTCGGCACGCGGTCTTCTTTCCTAGGACACTGTGAGCTTTCACCTTTTCACTCCAAGGGGAAGCTGCAAGGCTGCCCCAGCATGCCCGAGCGTTCAGCGTCAACGCTCAGGGCTGGGGGACACTGCTAAGAACAGCAAGGGTGACCCAGCACAAGAACAGCAAGGGTGACCCAGCACAAGCACTGCAAGGTTGCGACAGTGCATCTGGCAGCCAGAGGCCGCAGGGAGGCCGGCAGTGCACAGTGTGGACACCTGGACAAGGGCGTCCATGTCCTGGTGAGCAGGGGGGACCTGGGGGAGCCACGACACTGCTCAGAACAGGGCGACCATGTGTGTCCCGGGTGACAATGCACTGTCATCCAACAGCTCTGATTCTGGAAATCCTCATGGAACTCCATTGGGAAAAGACGGACAGGCAGCAGATGAACCCCATCCCGGGCCCTGGAGGGCTCCCCAGGCTGGGCCTGTCGCTCTCGCAGGCATCAGCAGCCCCACAGGCCCAAGCTCCACACGTAGGGAGGGCGCCAGGGCGGCCACCTCCCCTGCTGCCACCTTCCCCACTGCTCCTCCCAACCGCCTGCTCAGAACCAGCTCTGGAAAGTGTGGGATGCTCGGGGCCCAGACTGCCTCCCCGGAGCGGCGCACTGCAGGGGCCTGGCATGTGGGTGAGGACATTTTTACTTTCAGCTGACGCCTGGCCCGGTGTGGGTCAGGGCGACGTTTCAGCTCATGGACACAGCGAGGAATTCGGGGTGATTGTGCGGCCGTCCCCTCGGACATCCACCACTCCCGGAGGAGGACGCCCAGCCCGCTGCACTTGGCTGCTCTGAATGCTCAATCGCTGTTGGCCACTGTCACTGTGCCATGGCAAAGACGTCATCCCTCACCCACTGGACGCCCCTCCCTGTCCCACTGCTCTTGGGGAGCTTCCCGTACACATGTAACACATGTGACACAGGCTGGGGAGGCCACATGCTCAGCCAGCATGAAGCCTGTTAGGCTTCCTGCAAGGAGTTGCTGCTGCTTGTGGCCCAAGACAGCGTCACACAACCTTACATTTCACTGACCTGGCCTCCCTCCTTGGGTTCTGGCAGTCTGTTTACTCCTTGGTCCAAACAGCAAACCTCATTTTCTTTACTTTGGCAGCAGCCAGAAGTCTAATGGGTCAAAAAAAACCAGTGGGAACTTAATGCTGATTCTTTAGGTATCAGATAAACCTGGTGACAAATGGACGTAACACAGGATCACTGTTGTCAAGCATCATGAAAGAAATCACCTGTACTTAGCATATCCAAACTACCTCTCATCAAAAACTGAGCTGGAGGGCCACGGTTTTAGCTCAGTGGCACCTCGCCTGCCTGGTAAGAGCAAGGTCCTGAGTCCAATCCCCAGTACCAAAAAAAAAGTTAAAAAAAAATGAGCTGGTGAGAAAATTTGACCAGCAGTGTTTATTAAGTAAGTTAAAGTACATAAAGACTGTATAAGCCTGGCACATGCCAAAGAATGTTAACCATGAAGGACTGACGGTCACTAATAATCTAGTAAGCTAAACACGTGCCGGCTGTTAGTGAGCACAGGCGTCAGCCTGTGGACCTCGCGTTCTGTGGCGTTTTCCTAGTGTAACCCAGGCAGCCTGGGCCCCGCGACTGGGCTGTTCCTTTGTTCAGTAAACTGACGCAGCAGTGGCTCAGTCAGCTCCTTGGCCCTGCGGCAGCCCGGCCTTCTGTCAGGCAGCCAGTCTGCTGCGGAGAGGGGCTGGCTGCACCTCTGTGCCCAGCGCTGTGCCAGGTGCACAGCCTCCTGGCACCAGGGGTGGCAGAGTGCTGCCCAGCCAGGCACCGGATGTGACCAGCAAGGCAATGCCCTTAGAGGCCGGCTATGGAGCTGCAGTTGGGAGCAGCCCTGCCTTCCCAGCACAGCGGTGCCTGTTGCAGCGACAACCCTACTGTGTCGCAGGAGAGGAGGCCTCGTGCTGCCCGGCACTGACCTTGCAGAAGGTCCTGCCCGCGTCCAGGATGGGTCTGTACCCCGTGCAGCGGCACAGGTTGCCTGCAGGAGAAACTGGCTGTCAGTGGGGCTGCGTGATAGGAGCACGCAGCAGACTCTGGGTCCCCCTCACTGTGGCCGGTTCCACCCTCGCCTCACGGGCATTTGATCCGTCTCCAGGGTGCTTTCACAGCTCCGCCATCTGCACTTCATCTGTTTCTAAGAATTTTTATGTCTTCTGTGTATGGCAGGTGCTCAAATGACACAATGATTTTAAGACAAAATCTTGCTCTCCAGTCACCTTTAAGAGCGAAGTATAATTAAAACCTAACTTTACTGGAGGATTACGACGGATACACAGCCGTGCATGTCTCCCATGCACACTCGCTGTGTGGAGAAAGGTCTACCTATGAGTCCAGCCTGCAGTCAGTGTGCACACAACTGTCACCTGCTGTTCAGTCACGCATTCACTTGACAAACGACTACCCTCTCAGCAGGTGCCTCAGTGTCGTGAGAGCCACAGTGCCGTGTTCACGCTGCGTCACTGCACTTGCTGAGCAAACCTTGTGACCAGGCCTCGGGTGCAGGAGAGGCCAAGCACCAAGAGCAGCACAGATGAGCTCTGTGCACTCCTTCCCCACACTCAATCTCCAGGCTGTGCTTCCCTCGGCCACTGCTCTTCCTCCACTCCCAGCCTCAGGCCTTATTTAAAAACAAAGCCACTGAGGCGAATTTCCTGGAGTTGGGTGGCCAAAACCTTCAATACTCATAAATTCCTGGGTGTGTCTTAGTACCCCGAAGTTTGAGACCCTCCTGTCACTTGGACAGCCATGAAATCAAATGCAAGAGGAGACCAAAAGGCAGCTGGAAGACGGCTCTGGTGTTGTCTTCTGTTTCCTGCCACTCTGGCCCTCTGCAGGGGACCAGGCAGTGTTCAGTCTCCGAGTCAGCCACACAGAGAGGGGGCACAGGAGGGAGGGGGACCAAGAGGGCCAGGGAGTCTCACCAGGCACAGGCTCGAGAGGCGGGTGCTTCTAAGAAACTGTTTAGGACCTTGATGAAGACCAAACATGCATGCACACATGCATGTGCACACAGGCACACACAGATGAATGTATACACACACACATTCACAGAAACACACACACATGCACACTCATAAATGCATACAGGCACACATACATGCTTGCACACACACGCGCATACAAATAAATGCATGCACACATGCACACACGCACCCATGCACGTATATGCATGCACACACCTGTACACACACTCACTGCACACATTCACACATGCACATTCACACATAGGTATGCACACACCCACACATGCATGCAATGCATGCACACAGGCAGGCACACACATATACATGCATGCATGTACACACATGCACACTCATGCATATACACATGCACACATCCACACATCCACACATGCATGTGCACATGCACAGAGCTCTTGAGCCCAGTAACATAGCTCCATGGAGAGAACTTGAAGAAGCCGCTCCCCAGTGTCACCAGGAGCTGGGTCTCTGGTGTAGACCACACTTCCCAAGCCCTCACACACCGGACTCTGTTCCAAGACCCCTGGCCCCACTAGGAGAGACAGGTGGGACAGCAGCTTGTAAGGACAGCAGCTGCCCTCTTTCCAGGGACAAATGCAGAGCTTGGGTTTTGATGATTATGAAAGCGAACAATTAAAAAGAAAGGACTCTAATACAGTAAAAGAGACAAGAAATGCAACCGCCCAACACAATGTGTGCATCTGGTTTGGAGTGTGGTTTCAGCAAACAGCTTGTCCACAAACAGCTGGCAAACTGACAAGTGACATTTCTGAGCCTCAGGCTCTCTGGGTACGAACTGGGCTGACACTTCCTGTCTGTTAACATGACTGGGGTTCGGTGTGTGGCATGAGGCTAAACCCACCTGCCAGGGCCGCCAGGAGCTGCTCCTCCGAGGGCTGTGGGTAGTTTCGCAGCAGCGTGTACAGCGACATCACCATCCCGGGGGTGCAGAAGCCACACTGCGTGCCGTGGCTCTTGGCGATCCTCTCCTGCAAGCAGAAGTCAGGGACATAGGAGCTGGGCTGGGTCCATGCAACCAAGTCAGAACCTGCACTTCCTCAAGAGCCTCAGGCGGCTCCACTGGGCACTGCAATGGCTGGAGAGGCCTGAAAGCTCTTCCCACCCCTGGTTCTGAGTCCTGGCTGTGGAGCCTAAAGCCCCGAGCCGAAACGGCCCCAGATCCTGGCTGGTCTCTGGGAGGGGCGCAGGGCATCTTCTGAAGCCCCTGGGGGCTATGAGATCCTGAGACAATGGATCCTCTTCAGAGAAACTGCAGATTACACACTCAAGGAGAGAGCAGAAAACAGAATGCTGGGTCCCATTTATTTGCTTGCTTTTTCTGGGGCTGCCTCAGCCTCCATGCTCACTTTTTCCAGTGGCGGAAGAGACCAGACCCACAGGCGCCATCTAATCAGGGCGCAGAGCGGGTGAACCTGGCCACACCCGTGGTGTCTCAGGAAAGGTAAAGTTCTCCGGCCCAGAGCGGCTCTGAGGGAAGGTGGTCCACACCAGGACTGTCTGGCTTTCTCTGGGCTTCCTGGGCTTTGTCCGTGCCCGTACCCAGGCCCCGACCCTGCGCTCTCTCTGCCCAGGGACCTGCACGCCATCCGGGTCACAGCTTCACCTGCACGGGGTGCAGCCGCGTCCTCGTGCTTCCCACGCCTTCCACCGTGGTGACAGCTGCGCCGTGCAGGGAGCAGACAGGCGTCAGGCAGGCACTGGCTGGGTAGTGTCTGCAGGGAGAGTCGGGGGTGGGCAGGGCACACACCATGCCCCTGCTTTGCACACCAGCTGCTCCCTAGCTTACACCAGCTACAGGGGAGAGGCTGAGGTCCGAGTGATTTCTGGGGTGCACAGCTGGGGCCACAGCAGGGTTAGGGACTCCAGCACAGTCTCCCTGGTTCCAAGGCATCTCTTCCGACGGAAGCACTGACAGCCTTGCTCCCACAGGACCCCACCCACCCAGCACTTCCTTCAGGCTCCGGAGAGGGCAGGCTCTTGGTGACGAAGAATAGAGTGAATCTGATATGGCTCCTTGGAAGAAACACCAGGTGGAGAGAGGTAGAATGGCTCACCCCCAAACCCAATGCTAGGAAATGTCCAATTCAAAAGGCCTCCTATCTCCTAAAATGTTCCCCGTTACCGAACAACTATCGGTGGCTAATGAGAGTTACAGGCATCATATTACAGCAATCCAAGCACGCCTGTGTTTACAGCAGCACAACTCATGACAGCTAAATCTTGGAAGCAGCCTAATGTCCATCAACAGATGAGTAGATAAAGAAAAGGTGGTAATTACACAAAAACGGAGTACTACTCAGCTATAAAGAAGGATAGACTTGAGGTATTTGTAGGAAAATGGTTGCACCTTGATACCAAAATGTTAAGTGAAATAAATCAGATACAAGGATTAAATATCACATGGTTTCTCTTAGATGAGAAACCCAAATTATAAATAAAGAGCAAAATAAAAGATGATAGGAAATAGAGGTAGATCTTTCTCAAATGGGAAGAGGACCAAGAGATGGAGGGAGGAGGAGGGAGGAAAAGGGGTGAAAAAGGGATTGGGGTGTGTTATGCACATGCACAACTCCACAAGGGGTGTAAACTTTATGTACTGAAAACGTGGGTTTAAAAATGATCAAGAAAGATTCAAATCAAGCAGTGAGAAATGCCACCTCATCAAAGAAAATGACAGTTTTCTAAAATTATAGTATCTGTTATTAGCAAAGGTTTGGGAAAATATGACTCATATACTGCTTGCAAGAATGTAAGTTAGGGCCAAGGATTTAGCTCAGTGGTTCCACCGCCTGGCTCCCAAGCGGAAGGACCCGAGTTCGATCCCCGGTACCAAAAAAAAAAAAGTAAGTTAAGGACTTCCAGGAAGATGATGGAATGGTGAACAGCAGAGAGCCACCCTCTCCAAGATTTGGTGTTCAGACACTGGAATATAGCAATGTGAGAAAGAAAAGAAGGAGGGAAATGGGTCCCCAGGACACAGCAAGGATCTGAAGTGAGAATTGAAGCCCATTGAGAGACCTCAATGCAGAAGAAGGAGGTAGCAAGCAGTGCTTTCTCCCTGGGACCTGACTCACTCTGTGGAAGGGCCTGAAACTGCACTCACAGTGACTACTGGTGACACCAGAGGCCTCCATGGAGAAATGTATCTGTGGAACAGAGCAGTGGATGCAATGGCCTGCAGTGACTGGTGAGTTATTTGGGTTCAGGTGTCCCCTGGGAGAGGGTGATTGGCTGGTAGCCATCTTGGAGAGGGGCCAACTGAGCTCGGAACTCAGCAGCTGCAGGCTGGCTCTCTCTAGCAGCTCCCAGTGTCAGGTGAGGCAAAGCCAAGTTCAAGCTGGCAAGAGGCACACAGGGTGGTGCAAGATGCAACCTCAGACTTCCAGCTCACCAAAGGCAAATCCAGGGGAAATGAGGTGGGACAATTCCAAAGTCACCCACACCTGGACCTCAGAAGTGGAAGTAACAAAGCAGATGAATGAGGCTCTAGAAAAACATCAAGAAATAATTTCTCAGATAACTACAGAGATGGTGACCATAATGAAAGATCTGGTTAGTGAATATAGAGCAGATACAGATTTTAAAAAATAAAGGACCTTAGGAAAATGATGGAAACCATGAAGTCTCAACACAGGAAAGAAATGGAATCCATGAAACAGAATCAAACAGATACCTGGGAAATTAAAAATTTCACTGAAATTATACAAAATCGAATGAGTAAATGTGAAGACAGAATATCAGATACAGAAGACAGGTTTGCAGTTAGTGATCATGAAAAGAAAGATTTCTTTAAAATAGCAAGGGACCACAAAAAATCAATCCAACAGCTGCTAGATGGTGCAAAGAATAAGATTCATTGGAATCTATGAAAAAGCAGGAGATAGCACAAATGACATAAAAAACCTGTTACGGAAGTAATGGCAGAAAACTTCCCAAGCAAGGGAAAAAGAATTTGACATATAGATAAGTGAGGCATATGGAAATCCAAATAGACATGATCCAAAAAAATCTATACTACACCAAGGCATGTAATAATCAAGATTCCCAAAATTCAACACAAGGACAGAATACTAAAAACTATTAGAGAAAAGAAATGGGCTAGGGATTTAGCTCAGTGGTTCCGCTGCCTGCCTCGCAAATGCAAGGTCCAGAGTTCGATCCCTGGTACCAAAAAAAAACAAAAAAAAACAAGAAAGAAAGAAACAAATCACCTATAAGGGAAAGCCTATCAGAATCACAGCAGACTTCTCAACACAAACTCTTAAGTCAAGGAGAGGTTGGAGTGAAGTATTTTAAGCCCTAAAAGACAACAACCTCCAATCTAGATTGATATGCCCTGCAAAACTATCTTTCAAAATCGATGGAGAGATAAAATACTTCCATGAAAAAGAACACCTGAAGAAATCCATGACCACCAAACCCATACTACAAAGTGTTCTGAAGGACATTCTAGAAAGAGATAACAAGGACTAAATCTCTATGAACTCCAACAGATTGAACCTACTAGGCAAGGCAAGCAATTAAACAGAGGGAGAAAAAAGGGAACCAACAACAGGAAAGTAACATGACAAGAATAAGTCAATACATATCAGTTATAACCATCAATGTAAATGGTCTGAATTCACCAATCAAAAGAAACAAACTGGGAGAATTTATCAAGAAGCAAGATTCAACAATATGCTGCATACAAGAAATACATTTATTTCAAAAAGAAATTCACTGGCTGAAAATCAAAGGATGGAAAACAATACTCCATGTGACAGGAACCCAGAAAAAAGTAGGGGTAGCTATTCTATTTGAAGACAAAGTGGATTTCAAGCCAGACTGACTAAGAGAGACAAAGAAGGTCACTACATCTTTGTAAAGGGAACAATTCAAGGGGAAGAGATAACAATCATAAATATAGATGTACTAAATACCAAAATACCCAATTATATAAAACAAATATTAATGGACATGAAAAATTAAATAAGCACTAATACAACTGTAATGAGGGAACTGAATACCCTACTGTCACAAATGGACAGATCAACTAGACAAAAAAATCAACAAAGGAATATCAGAACTGAACCAAACTTACGAACAAATGAACTTAGTAGATGTCTACAGAGTGTTCCATCCCATAATGTCAGAATACACATTCTTCTCAGCTGCACATGGACGTTCTTCAAAATAGACCACATACTAGCCCACAGAACATGCTTAAGTAAATGCAAAGGAATTGAAATTATCCCATGCATATTATCAGACCACAGTGCAATGAAATTAGAAATCAATATGAAAAGAAACCACAAGAACTTCATAAACACATGGAAATTAAATAACACCCTCTTGAATACCCAATAGGTCACAGATGAAATTAAAGAACAAATTAGACAGTTTCTACAGTTAAACTATAATGTCAATACAACATACTAGAACTTATTGGACACAATGAAAGCAGTCCTATGAGGGAAATTTATAGTGATAAATTTCCATATCAGAGAAACAAACTAGCTCAAATAAACAACCTAATGTTGAACCTCAAGCTTCTAGAAAAAGAAGAGCAAGTCAAGCCCAAAGTTCATATGAAGGAGGAAATTATAAAGATCAGAGCATAAATTAATGCAATGGAGACTCAGAGAACAATGCAAAGAATCAATGAATTGAAGAATTGGTTCTTTGAAAGATTAAATAAAATTGACAGACCCTTAGCCAACCTTATCAAAAAAAGGGATTTAATCCATGCAATTAAGAATGAAAAGGGCAAAATCACAACAGATCCTGCAGAAATCCAGAAGATCATCAGTACCTACTTCAAGAACCTGTACTCTAATAAGATGGAAAACACAGAAGAAATGGACAGATTCCTGTATACATATGAATTACCAAAGCTGAATCAAGAAGATATAAAAAATTCTAAATAAATCAGTATCGGTCAATGAAATTGAAGATGCAATTAAAAACCTACCAACAAAGAAAAGCCCAGGCTCTGACAGATTCACTGCCGAATTCTACAAGAAATGTAGAGAAGACCTAATCCTGCTACTTCTTAAACTCTTTAATGAAATTGAAAGGGAAGCAATACTCCCAAATTCATTCAAAGCACTACCCTGATACCAAAACCAGAGACGGATCCAACCAAAGAAAGAGTACAGGCCAATCTCATTAATGGACATAGATGCAAAAATCCTCAAGAAGATACTGGTAATGGAATGCAGCAAGTCATCAAGAAGGTTACACACCATGACCAAGTAGGAATCATCCCAAGGATGCAGGGATGGTTGAACATACACAAACTAATAAATGTAATACACTATATTAACAGAGCCAAGGGCAAAAACTACATGATCATCTCAACAGATGTAGAAAGGGCATCTGACAAAGCCTAACACCTATTTGTGATAAAAACCACACAGAAAATTGGTATAGATGGTCTTTATCTCAATCTGATAAAAGTTATCTATAAGAAACCAATAGTCAACATCATACTAAATGGACAAAACCTCAAAGCTTTCACTCTAAAATCAGGAACAAGACGTCCACTGTCACCACTCCTGTTCAATATAGTTCTGGGAACACTAGCCACAGCAATTAGACAAGAGAAAGAAATAAAAGGAATAAGGACAGGAAATGAAGAAGTTAAATTATCATTATTTGCGGATGACATGATACTCTACATAGAAGACCTCAAAAATGCCACCGAAAGACTTCTAGATTTAATAACTGGATTCAGCAGTATAGCTGGAAACAAAGTCAACACTCAAAAATCAATAGCCTTCCTGTACACAAACAACAAACTCACTGAGAGAGATTCACAATAGCATCCCCCCAAAAAAGAAATAGGAATCAATCTAACCAAGGAAGTAAAGGAACTTTACATTGAAAACTATGGTACTCTGAGAAAGGAGACTGAAGAGGCTATCAGGAAATGGAAAGGTATCCTTTGTTCTTGGGTAAAAAGAACCAATGTAATGAAAATGGCCATACTTCCAAAATTGTTATACAGATTTAATGAAATCCAGATCAAAATAGCATTAGTGTATCTCATAGTTAGAGAAAACAATCCTAAAATTAATTTGGAACCAGAAGAGACCTAGAATAGCAACAAAGGCAAAGCAGGGAGCATTAAAATCCCTGACTTGAAATTATACTACAAAGCTACTGTGATAAAAACAGCATGGGACTGGCAAACAAACAAACAACCCCCAAAACAGAAAACAAAAACCTGAGGATCAATGGAACAGATCAGAAGATGCAGAAACAACTCCGAACACAATCAGCCACCTTATCTTTGACAAATGAGTGAAACACCTTCATTGGAAAAAAAATAGCCTCTTTAATAAATTGTGCTGGGTAAACTGACTTTCCACATGCTGAAGATTGAAACTAGACCCATTATCATTCACCATGCACTAAACTAAAATAGAAATGGATCAAATATCTAAATATCAAAACAGAAACACTAAATCTGCTGGAAGAGAGAACAGGTAGAACGCTTGAAGACATTGGTGCAGCCAAAGACTTTATGAATAAAATTCCAATTGCATAGGAACTATCACAAAGAATCAACAACTGAGGGGGCGGGGATTTAGCTCAGTAGTTCCTCCATCTGCCTGGCAAGCACAAGGCCCTGAGTTTGATCCCCGGTACCAAAAAAAAAAAAGAATCAACAACTGAGATCTCATCTTATTACACAGCTAGAGAAACCACCAACAGAGTGAAGAGACAACTCACAGAGTGGGAAAAATTTTTTACCAGCTGTTCCTCAGACAAAGGACTAATATCTAGAATATATAGAACTCAAAAAAACCAAACCCCCACCCCAAATTTAAAGACCCAGTCCAAAAATGGGCATCTGAAATGAATAGGCACTTCTCAGATGAAGAAGTAGAAATGGCAAATAAATATATGAAGAAATACTGAACATCACTGGTCACTGTAGAGTTGCAAATTAAAACAATGTTGAGATTCCACCTCACCCCAGAAAGAATGGCTGCTATCATGAAATCAACCAATAACAAATGCTGGTGGGGCTGCAGGGAAAAAGGAACTCTTGCTGGTGGGAGTGCAGACTGGTGCAGCCACTGAAGAAATCAGTGTGGAGATTTCTCAAAAAACTAAAACTAGAGGTTCCATTTGACCCAGCTATTCCCTTTCTTGGTATCTTCCCAAAAGAATTAAAAGCATCATACCACAGAGATATATGGATATTCATGTTTATAGAAAGCCGCACAGTTTTTAACAGCTAAATCTTGGAAACAGCCCAAATGCCTATTAACTAATGAATGGATAAAATTTTTTTTTATGCAACGGAGTATTACTCTGCCATAAAGGATAACCTTGAGACATTTCTAGCTAAATGGATCCATTTGAGACCACTCTTCAGTGAAATAAATCAGACACAGATGTTTAAATACCACATTGTTTCTCTGGTGTGAGAAACTGAAAGTGGAAATAAGGACTAAAATGTATAACAGAGACTGGGAAATGGGAAGGAAATGTTCAAATGGGAAGGGGAACAACGGAGGGAGGAAAGGAGGGACAAGGAAAGAAAGAGCACAGGGGAAAAATGAAAACAAAGCTTTTGTAAATAAGGAGGGGAAGAAGGGCTGAAGTGAGGGGGAATGGGAAACAAAGAGGAATCGAGACGTATCACGGAAGGCACAAATCCCCTATGATAAGCGTCATCATTATGCATATCCAAAATGTACCAATAAAAACATCTTGTTACAAGAAAAATAAAAGGATGTAAGTTAAGCTCCACCAGGGCCCTTCCGGGAGACACTGGCCTGGAGACACTCACACAGCGCCTGTGCACAGCCGCCGCGGGACCCACTACCGCGGAAGGTTGCCGCAGGCGACCCGCACTGGCAAGCTCTAGAAAATCAGCACCGGTCAGCTGTTTGTGTTTGTTATCTGAAGCTTCTCCTGAACAATCAACCAAAAGGGGCAGGTTTCTCACAGTCCTGCAGGACGCGTCTGTGTGGCAGACGCAAAAGCAGAGCGGAAGGACCTCCCCGCAAGTGTGGGGTATCGGAGCTCCCTGTGCGGGGCGAGAACACGGCCCAGGCCAGCCCGGCCCGCAGTGCGGGTGAGCAGCCTGGAAGGAGGCCGGGACGCGGCGGGAGCAGGGCCGCTTCACGCACCGCTGGCTCTGAGGGGGACGGCAGCGGTGGGCGGCGCGAGCAAGTCGCACGGGAAACCCTCGGAGAGGACAGCGCGGCGAACCGCTGCTTCACCCCCGGGGCCCGCATCACCTCCCAGCGCGGGTACCTGACCCTCCGGGCGCTGTGGTCGTAGCGCGAGATCATCACGGTGCAGGCGCCGCAGCCGCCGCCCCCGCAGCCGTACTTGGTGCCGGTGAGTCGCACTGGAGGCCACAGCTAAGGACGGCGCGGGCGTCCACCCCCGCGGCCCCGCCCCGCGCACTCCCCGCAGTTACAGCCAGGTGCATGGAGGACGCACACGGTCGTGTAAATGCGCGGTTCTCTCTGTGGCCGCGGCTCCCGTCCTCCTTTGAAAGGCACTGTGCCTCGGGCTGTGGAAAACAGGCCCGAACCCAAAGAGGAAGCGGCCATGCGGGGCTGCAGTGTCTGAGGCCACCTCCTTGCTGTCACCTTCATCGGCGTCTCAGTGTCAGAGGAAGAAGTGAAATTACAGTCATCTGGAGAGCTTGTGTCCTACGGACCATGTGTGCCACGTTTCTCCGCCTTTTGGCCAGACGCCACTAGTTGAACCCCATGTCTGTTATGGTCTGCTCTTTTTTTTTTGGTACCAGGGATCAAATTCAGGACCTTGCGCTTGCGGGTGCCACTGAGTTAAATCCCGGCCCTGTTATCTTCTATTCTTTAGCAATGGGAGCCCCAGGTTTCAGTCCCACACAGGACTGCCCAGGTTCACAAAGCCTCCCGTCAGTGTCCTGCGGGTTTCTAGGAGGGACGAAGGTGTTCCCTCTCTACCGGGACCTCTTTCCCTTGGCTGGGATTTGGATGCAATGGCAGGACCTCGTGCAGACGAAGAGCCGGAGGTGCAGTGAGACACAGGACTCCGGCCTTGCTCCTTAACCTGTCCTATGCTGCCCTCCACCTGGATCTGCTGACCTGGCGTCCTCCGTGGGAGCTCGAGGGAGGGGACGGGGCAGTGAGAGAGGACCCCCTCACTAGGAGGGCGACAGCGTAGGGACCCGTGCCACACTGTAGACCCCAACCCCCCTTTTCATGGGGACCCTGCCCCTCAGTGACTCAAAGCTGTGAGGAGACTGGACAGGGAGTCCCCATCGACCACCCACCGAGCTCCCTCTTCCTCCAGGGGGTGGTGCTGGGTCCAGAGCCTCCATCCTCCCCACTGGGTTCCTCCCCAAACCCTCGCACAGTTTCGCTGTCTCGGGTGTCTGTGCCTAGAGGTCCCGAGCCAGCAGGAGACAAAGTCCATCACCTCGCTTGCTGTGTTACACTCGGCCACTGCAGCTGACCTAGTGCCTCTGTTCTGGATCTTGAGCGACCTCCGGGCATACTCGTGTGTCTCAAAGCAGTCACTGATGCGTTAGAGCTGGGTATGTTTGCGGGACTTCACCTCCCAGGGAAGAGATGCAAACTTAGCTCCCACACAGTTGTGTGCAAATGAGAGGGGTCTACAAGCTCCGCATGCCCCAGAGGTCACGAGTAGCAGGCTGGGAATTTCTCCAGGCGGCAATTTCAGGTATAATTTCTCCATCTCGGGAGAGTTCTGTGCTCTCTTGCTCTAACAGGCATGGCAATTAGTCGTTGAAGACGGAGGGTGAGCGTTGTGAGTCAGTTCTAAAGGTGCTCAAGTAACCCTAACATGCATCGCCCCACTGGCTCTGACTTCAGCATCTACACTGAGCACTCGTACACTGCACCAGACAGACCTTGGCTCTCCCAGCTGCAGCTGCGTGCTGCACACAGAGCTGAGCCTAGGGCTTCCTCAGAGAGCGTGGAGCCATGATAGCGGGGCGCACGGTCTCAGTGTGGCTCCGAGGACATCTGAGCTCTCATCTGACAAGGACCCAAGCCTCCCACACACAGGCAAAGGAAAGGATACGATTCCTCCTCAGGAACGGCAACAGCATCATTTCAGGATCAACATTTTTCTCTGTCACCTATGTAGAGAGAGAAAATAAAGCGTTCTGCACAAGAAGTCGAGAGCAGCGTGACGTCCGCTGTGGCGTGACCCTGCTGCATTAGAGGGAAGTGCACATGGATTAACCTTCAGGCAGCATCTGGCTGGCCCTGCTCGGCCACCCAGAGACACGTCTGTAAGTCTAGCCCCACCCCCTTGCTGGCCTGTGGTAGGAGGACGCCTTGTCCCTAGGCTGCAGCGGCGTCCCGGTGACTGGGCCAGGGGCACCTCCTCCTCCAGCACTGTGCCCAGCCTGGCGCAGAGGGTGGGACCCGGGGTCTCTGTGTCAGTGCCGTGACCTGGGGGCTTGGCAAAGCGCATGGTCCAGGGCCCCAGTGTGGAGCAGGCACTTCCCGGGCTCAGGCTTCTGAGAGTCCTCCAAGGAGGAGCAGCAGCCCCGGGCCTCTCGGCCTGCAGAGCCCTTCTCCCTCTGCCGAGTGCACCCTGGCTCTCCCAGTCAGGCCCAGGTTGGCTCCCTGGAGCAGTGGCCAGCAGGAGGGTGGAGGGTGGTGTGGCCCTCAGTGTGACGAGGCATTCTCCAGTTTACTTCGCAGGTGGCCCCGGGCACTGGCCCCAGTGAGTGGATCTCAGAGAAGAACCTGCCTTGAACTCAGCACACTGCAGCCTGTATCAGTCACTGTGCTTTGAAGCCCAGGGCAGCATGCTTGGGAGCAGTGAGGGAGGCAGGGGAGAACATGGAGTGCTGCTCTGTCACCTCTGAAAGACTCGTCAGCCCCTCAGGCCTCCAGTGCACTGACTCTGGCATGCAGACATCTGCCTGCCACAGGACCTTTGCATCAGATCTTCTCTGCCCCAAACGCAAGCTTCCAGATGCTTGCCTGGCCGCTTCTCCTCTCCCTGTCCCTGGTCCAATGTCTTCAGGATCCGTTCCTGTCCACCATCCTCTCTTGGGCCGGGTCTTTACACCAGCACCTATCACTTCTCCTGCACACGTAGGGCCTGGCTGTGTGCCCAGCCCGCTGGCCAGTGGCTCCCCCACCCCACCCTGTGCAGTGGGCACTGAGCCCTGCGGGAGCTGAGCACCAATGGCAAGGCCGGCTGTGCTGAACACCGTGTGGCAGTCCTGCCCCAGCCCGTGTCCACCATGTGACAGCCCGCGGACCGAGGGCTCCTGTCCCCCAGGTAAGCCTGGGCACAGCAGGTCCTATGTGAGTGAGAAGTGCATACAGCTGGGGTGCTGAGTGACACTGGGGACCTCGCGGCAGCATGGCGTCTTTACCAGTAGCGTCAGCGTGCCCATGCCCCAGCGCCGGGGACAGCAGGCCACCCAGTTGGAACCCCCGCCTCAGTTTCTCCTTCAAATGAGGTCCATGTGTGCAGCGTGCCTGGGGCCAGCAGAGTGAGCACATGCGTGTGTGCAGGTGTGAAGTGCCTGGGTCTTGGGGCAGGGGCAGCAAGGGTGACCCCGACCCTGAGCCCAACCGCAGGCCCGTCCGGGCGGTCCTGGCCCGAGGGTCCCACCACAGGCCTGGGTGGGGTCCTGGCGGTCCCCAGGGCCTCCTCGTGTCCCCACTCACCCTGCGGCCGTTCACGAAGAAGTGCAGCGGCTCCATGGGCTCGGCTTCCGTCTGGGCGCGCTCGGCTGGTGTGGACGGAGGGCGAGTGGACAGCCGATGTGCACCCAGCCTGGCTCGCGGCCTCGCCCTTCCGTGACGCCGCAGGCCCGCCCCGCCCCCACGTGGCGTCCCGCCCACCGAGTCCTGTACGGACCTGACCCGCGGTCAAGGTCAGCAGTTCGGCCGCGCGCCAGGGTCCTGCAGCGCCCGCTCGCCCGCCCTGAGCACCCGGTCTCCGCAGGCTCTGCAGCTCGGGTTGCAGCTCGGCTCGGATCCGCTCCAGCCAAGCGAGCGGGAGGACGCGACGCGGGGCGAGAGCAGCCTGTCCGCTGGCTTCCCGCACCTAAACCTGGGGAAGCCCGCGGGGCGGAAGTCATTTCCGGACTTCCCGCGGCACCGCTAGAAAATCTTCCCGCCTCGTTCATTTAGCTAAAAACAAACCCTGGTGGGAAGTTCTGGGACGGGTCCTAAAAGAACGGGAACGGCCGGCCCAGCGGGCGGCACTTCAGGGCGATCGTCCGGGGGCCTGACACTGCTGCAGACAGCGCATGCGCACGCGCCGTGTTCGGCCACACCGTCGCCGATGTCCGCCATACAAAGTCTAATGTCTCCCTAGATTTGTCAGAGTCCGAAGTCAACGGCTATGGGCCCGTCACCGGCGCACGTCTGTGCCCACTGCCCTCGTCATTCACCTGGCAGAGGGAGGGTGTCCCGGGAGGCAGCCTGGCCTCAGCGGGGCCCACTGCTTCGCGTTTGTTAGGCCCTAACCCGTTTACACTTGGGTTCGGGTTCGGCCGCGCGGCCGCCCAGCGCGAGACTCCGGGCGCCAGAGGCTCCTGCGCCTTCTCTGCCGGCGAACAGCCTCCAGTCTGCTGTGAGCATCGCCGGTTATTTTCTCGAGGGTTGTAGTGAACGTCGGTTAGTTTTCTAGTAACTTCTAGTGGTGCACGGGGTTCTGCTTCATTTCCGTTTCTCCCTCGTCCCCACGCTGGTGTGCTTTAACCAACTGCAGTCATTCCCGTGATGCTGTTTGTCCGACCTCAGGCCGAAGGAAGCACCCTCAAGTTGTGCTGTGTCCCTTCGATACGGTTGTGTTCGCTTCTCCTGCTTTCTTGCTTGCTGGCTGGCACAATAAAACGTCCAGGCTCACTTTGTCTCCATCCCGTCCCTGGCTGGGAATCGGCCGTCTTTCCGAAGAGCCGGTTGCTTGGTTCGGGAAGTGTTCAGAAACACCCTGGAAGCAGAGCGTTCATTCCCAGTAAGTTGTCGTGTCTGGGCATCTTCACTGGACAGACGAGCTAGTTAATCGCTGTCCCTTCAACTGGGTTGAGAGTCCTGGAGAGCTGACTGGATCACGGGGGCTCACTCGTTGTGGATTAATCCACTTGTGCTCACAGCTGTGCTGTTGGGAGGGGGGCCAAGGTGGAGTGTGCATCTCTAGCTAGCACTTTTCCCGGGCTTTGCTTCTGGGCCAGTCTGAGCACAGCAGCCTTCTCCTCCATGCCCTTCCGCCATGAAGTCCCTGCCTCAGAGCCAGCGGGCCAGGGACTGAGCCCCGACACCAAGCAGAACTTTCATGTGGGTGTCAGGCATTTTGTCCCAGTGATGGGAAAGGGACTAATTTAACAACTAGGAAATAGAAACTTTTGTAAAGAAAGGTGAAAAAAGCATAAGTTTACAAGACTATTTCTAATTAAAACTCAGTATTGGAAAAGTTTTTAAAAAAATCTTGACTTCTGCTGATTTGAATATGGTCTGTCCCCCCCCCCCCCCACTTGTGTTGAGGCAGGGGCACTGGGAGGGCCCTCGGGAGGGTGTGGTGAAGGAGTATCTCACCTGAGCCAGAGATCTGTGCCTTCTGCTCTCTGACTGGATTAGTTCTTGGGTATTGTGTTCCAATGATGGGAAAGTGATGAAGACAGAAAATTCATGCCAGAGAATAGGGTTGTTGCTGTGCCTGTCCTTGACCCAGTGGTTCAAAGAAGCCTTTGAAACCGCTTTGTTTTTTGGTACCAGGGATCGAACTTGGGACCTTGCACTTTCGAGGCAGGCGGTGGAACCACTAGCTAAATCCTCGGCCATTGAAACTGCTTTGTAGGAGTTTGGAAAGATTTGGAGATGGGCTAGAGAAGCTCTAGAATACAGTAAGCAGAGCCTGATGGGAGATTGTCAGAGTTCAGAAGACCAGAATGCTGGTAGGAATGCAGACAGTAAAGGCCAGTGTGGGATAGTTGGCTGATACAGAAAATCCCTGCTCTGCTTCCGGGCCACCGTGCACAGAGCCCCTCTGCTTCACCATGCCCTTCCTGCATGATGTTCCTGCCTTGGAGCCAGCGACCAAATCCTTTGAAACTGAGCCAAATAAACCTCTCCTCAAGGTGTGGATGTTGTGTATTGGGTCCCAGCTAACACATTTGCTGACAGGAAATTCAAGTAAACCAAACAGCAATTTAAATCCTGTTTCCAACTTTCTGCTTTTCCATTTCCTTCTAGTGCCCTCTATTGGCAGAAGTTAAAAAGGTCAGCCCCAGAGGAGCCTTGTGATTTGAGCCCTGGCACCATACAGCAAAGATACAGTTGGGGGCTTAGAGTGGAGACATGTAGATCCCTACTCAATGCATTTCAGAACCGCCCGAGCATTTCTGTGCTGGTTATTAAGCTACTGTGGCTCAGATTCAAATCCACACTTCTCTCTTCTGCTTCTTGAGGCCGGGATTCTGTCTTCTCTCGTTTGCAGGCTCCTCCCCTTGTGTCTTGGGTAGAAGCCCACAGCAGGAGAGATGAGCTGCTGTGCTGCATCACCTAGGAACGGTTCACACCAGCAGAAGTGGCTGACTTCAGTACAGCTGGTAGGTAGCTCCTGCTGTCTCACTGCACTCCACAGGATTCTGCACCAGCACTGCACACCACGCGTCCTGGTGCTCGTCCCGAGCTGAAGTGCTTCCCAGGTCCCCCCTTCTCTGTGCTCCCAGAGGACTTGCTCTGTGATGCTCCAGGGGCACCTTTGCCTTCTCAAATTGGTTTTTGTTTTCATTTCTCTAGTATATAGTTAACAATGAATTGTGGTCTCTCTCTCTTGGCTGGGTCCTAATAAAATCTAGCAATACCAAAAGGCACTTGACAAAATCCAGTACCTATTCATTTTTCAAAAAAGCACTTGAATAATAGTTGGCTTATTTTAATGTGATTATAAATATGCAGCCCCTAAACCATCTTCCTTGATGGGGTGAAACCAGGGGCACTCTGGTGAAACCAGAAGACAAGGGTGCTCGCTGTTCCCGCTGCTGGGTGACCCTTGCGGGAGCAGCTGTGCACTCAGCACAAGTAGGGTAGGAATTAGGGAAAACAGCCTAAAAACAGTCTGGTTTTCAAGAGGTATGTCTGGAAAAACACTATACGATGAGCCAAAAAATACTGAGCAGTGAACAAGGGAATCAGTCATCTTCACACCTGCAGAAATTGGATGAGGGAATCTGAGAAGACCTCCCGTATATGACCCAGAAGATAAAAAGATAAAGTATGAGTTTAGTGTATGCAAAACCTACAAGTATAAGAAAGCTTTGTAACTCCCAGGCTATACTTTAAAGAGCAGAGGACTGGTTATCAGAGACCCGGATTACAAGACAAAAAAATCAAGAAATGAATTTAATTGCATGTGGAAATACAACACCACACTGCCACTGGGAGTCAGTAGTGGGTAACATGGGCTTTTTAACGAGGAATCACTTGGGAAAAGGTAAAAATTGCACCCACACTTCACAGTGCATATTAGAACAAATTCCACAAGTCAGAAATTTAAATGTAAGAAAAAAATAAAACCACCGGTCATTACTTTTATAACTTGGGAGTAGAAAATCCTTTCCTACTGTGACCAAATTTCACCAACAGTAAAAGAAAAGGCTGATACAATTATCTATATAAAATGAAAAATAATTTGCATGGGAAAGGAAAAAAATAAAAGATGTCTCATAAAAAGAAAACAGAGATAAAGGATAAGAAGACATTAAATCTGGGAGGTCTAGTCTTAGCAATAGTTTGGGAAGGTTAGCAGAGCCCGTGGACACTGAGCTCTGGACCACAGCGGAGAGGAGAGGAGACTGCTGTGCTACAGGAGTCTGCAGCCTCTGTGAACTGACACGGTTGGCTGCTAGGAAGGCCATCTTTACAGTGCCAAGTCCTGTTCCCCTGCAGGAGTCTCTCCAAGTGTGGCCCCAGGACAAGCTGCCACAGAACTGCCTGAGGCACCGGTCAGAGCTGTTCTAAGGAAGCGTCCACATGGAGGCAGAACACATCTGACCAGTTGTATGAAAACAGCAAATCTCGCGGTGACCTCAGGTAGGCAGAGGATTCATCACTTGTGGCTGGAGTAGTCATAAGCACCAAATTCCAAAGAGGCTGAAAGGCCAACAGTGAAGCCCCTCCTCCCAACATCCCTCCCCAGGCCCCAGGTTCTGTGTAACAGAGAGAGAAACTGATGGCAAATGGAGAAGAATGAGGCTGACAGAAATCAGGCCAGCACAGGAGAGGACCTTTAAAGCTTTTACATGTTCACATACAGCAACCAGATCAAAAGCAAAACAAGATAGCTTCCCGTACATGATAACCAATGCAAAAGTATTTATTCATACATTTATGCAGTTAAAAGGCTGATAGCTGTTGTTTGCTTAAAGGATGTTAGGTAGAAAGAAACTTATATGAGAAGGAAAATAAGTTATATGACCAAAAGTATTTTAGAAATTTAATATTACAGAACTAGCTACTTTATGCACATATGTTTAAACACAAGAATGAACAAATCAGCACTCTAAGCAAAGGCCCAAAAAGGGGGAAAAAAACTTTTCCTCAAGTGTTCCATCTTTGTGATCCTAGGTATATTTTTGTTCTGACTTCTGGTTCCTTGAGAATTCAGAAAAACTAGAGTCCATCTTCACTTCATCTTCTCATCTTTCTGGAAAATAGAAAAAAAGAAAGCTTAACAATAAAAATAAACCCCAACTAATGTTTGTGCTGTGGCGCACCAAGAAAAGTCCTTCTTCATCCCAGGATAAAACCAGCTTCCGAACTGCAGGCTTTGAAATACTGACAGCAGAATTAAAAATAAGGTATAGGGAAACTATCCACACGGGGTTTACACATTACAAATCCCGCCATACATTTCCTTTATACTATGGACTTTGGCATCACATAACCAGCCTAGCGCGCAGGCTCCTAGGGCAGTGAGCCCTCTGGCCCCGCCCCCCCAGGGGGGGGGGGCAGGAGCGCTGGTGGGTCAGGATGTCCACGCCCGTACCTGTCCAGTTTTTACCCGGAAAGGCACAAGGCTGGGCTCCAGCCACACTTGACCTTCATGTCCCGTTGGGGACTTACACCGCAGGGGCTTTTCTTGACCCGCTCTCTTCAGCAACATCTCCCTAGAACACTGAACACACTGGTTTCCCATCTGTGCCCGACTCTTCTGTCAGCAGGCTGCTCCTGCTGGAACCCTGGCCCGTGTGTGCCCCCTTTGTGAGGAGCCAGCCCGACGACCGCGGAGACAGAGCTGGCAGTGTGCGCAATTCTGGCCACAGGCTCGCAGAGTGCTGTCGTACAGCAACAGACAGCTAGGACAACTCCTCCACACGAGCGGTGGGCTCACCCAGTGCCCAGTGCACACTGCCATGCAATGCCCCATCATGAAGGTATCAGGCTTCCTGAAGAAGTGCCTGATTCCGAGGCTGGAGAACACGAGCGCCTAAAACATTCTGTAAGTCAGAAAACAGGAAGTGCTCCAAATAATGTGAAATCTTATCAAAAGTGAACAGAAGCCGATCAGAACAAACTCCTAATATGCAGCTGGAATGGCTTGGAAACACATGAGTCCATCAAGGGTCAGCTTAGTCTTGGTTTCTCCTTTGTCCCCAGCCTGTGACAGCTCCTCCCTGCTTCCTGGCGCTTCTGAGCCCTCGTTCACCATGACAGGAACGTGCAGGGAAGGGTGCACCCGCTTTGGAAACTGCCCGGCAGCTCCTCAGTGCCTACAGAGTCACTGTAACACAGTGACTCACTCCTGTGCATTCACCCCAGAGAAGCGACAGCAGATGCATGCGAAATTGGCACATGAGTTTGCACACCAGCACCGCTCACAACAGCAACACAAACATCCAGATGAATGGGAGGGCAAAGTGCAGTCAGGAAGGAAACGAAGCACCGGTCCCTAAGGCAGTGAGGACGGACCTGGGACATCACGCTGCTAACGGGAGGGCCGGGCACAAAGCCCTCGAGCTGTGTGGCTCTGTCCCTAGGGGTGTGCAGAGCAGGGAGTTCTGTGGAGACAGGAGGCAGATAGGGTCCCGCCAGGGCGGAAGCTCACAGCTACTCAGAGTATGGGACGCCATTCAGAGGTGGAAGAAATGGCCTAACCTGGCAGTGGCTAGAATCTACCAAAATCCAGACTGTACACTTCAAAGGGTGGAGATTATGACATATGCAAAAGGGGATGCGTTTTATGTCCCAGGAAAGATATTTTTTAAAAAACCTTTGGTCCTTTATTTCACTCTAATTTTCTTTTTCTAGCCAGCCTCACGCTGCTGCCCTCTGCTGGCCAAGTAAGTACTGTACCTGTGGTCACGGTCCAGTCCACAGCGTGTGGGAGAAGGGCAGAGTGCACAGGAAGGGGAGAAGATGCTACCCCAACTGGGATGGGAGTCTTGGAAACAGGCTTCTTGACTTACACTCAACAAGACCAGGGTCTGCACAGAACATCTGCAGAGGGCCTGGGCATTTTCGTAATAATCAAGGACACCTATTCTGTTACCTCAATAGAGACTGGCTATTAGATGCCAGCTGGAATTACTTTTAATTTTGCCATGTGTGATCATCCTTATCTAGTTTTGTTAAGAAGTTTGTTAAGAAATTCTTATTTTTTTAGAGATACACAGAGAAATGTTTTAGGAATCAAATCATTCAGGATTAGGAATTTGCTTTAAAAAAAAAAAAAAAAAAATCTGGGCCCCGTGGTGGATGCCTAAAATCCCAGCCCTCTGGGAGGCTGAGACAGGAGGGTCACAAGCTGGAGCCCAGATTGGTCAATTTGGCAAGACTCTACAATAATAATAACAGTAACAATAGAATGGGGAGATAGCTCAGCGTGAGGGCCCTAGATTCAATCCCAAGCGTGGCAAAAACCAAAGACAAAGCAGGCAGAGGAAGCAAGTGTAGCGAAGTGCTGACACCCCCTGGACCCCAGGGATGGTCGGGCTGTAATCTCTTGGTGGGGTATGTTTGAAGTTTAAAAATAAACAAAAAAGGAGAGTAATGGTTTGAGACCAAAGAACACAGACATCACAATAACTTCTAGGGAACAAGGTGGGAAATAAATAAACGTGAGTGAGTAAATAAATCATAGAAGACAATTTTAAAGGTCACAATTAGCAAGTAACAATTTAAAAGTGACAATGGTAGAATGGGAACTAAGAGAAACTAGTCCAATTTAAACCCGGTCCCCGCGGTCCTGCTTCTCTACACCTACCCACCCACAGGGCTGCAGCCCAGTCTGGCCACACTTGCCTTTTGAGGCTGGGCTCTCTCAGACTGAGCGGTGTGCACCTCCGCTTTCTGCTTGGTGGCTTGGAGGCTCCATCTCCCAACTCACTCTCAGACTTCGCAGCTTTACTTGAAAAGAAACTGGTGTTTGTCAGATCCTGTAGTGTTCTGTTACCTGCAGAGAACATTTCCACAAGTACTTGTAAAAGTCTACACAGTGACACAGACAGATATGGGGTAATAGTGGTGTGCAAATCACTGGCAGCAAGTTTTAAAAATTAACAATTCAATGTTGAGAGGAAAAGAGGCTTAACATTTGAAAAACCGTCGGAGAAGCCTGTGACATTTTCATTCTGCAATCACGTCAGCTGACAAAGTTCCTGTGGACGGGGTGTGGGGAGGTGGGCAGAGCTGAGCAGACCCAGCACCCTGCACACGCACTGAGATGCCCGGTTCCCGGCAGAAGCACAAGAGGTGATGGGATTTCTAATATTACACACTACAAAATCTCTGAGATGACAAAACAAACAAAAACAAAAAATATTCTTAGGATCTCATGTGAAGGAGAAGAAGTGGAATGAGTAACATTATAGAGCAGGATTTCAAATACAGAATTAAAAATCCTCAGATTTCAAGTGAGTACGTATTAGGGGAAATGTGGACCATACTCCCTGGTGATTTTTACCCCTGCTTTTTTTCTGATTTTCTACTTTTGACTTTCTACATGAGTATTATTTTAATAATTGGGGTAAATAAGCAGTAAACACTAATGGTAAAAACCTTACCTATCCATTAGGGCCTAAAATGCTATCTATTTAGTGATATCTTTGCAAACTCTGCTAATCAAACCCAGCGGTATATCTGTCTGCTTTTACTAAGAGATTTACCCCATTTCACCACTCTTGGCTCCTTCAGGAACACTCTGGGGGAAGGGCTGGTCCCATGCCCAGTCCTCTACAACCCTGAGGAAAGGGCTTGATCAACTAAATACATGCTGTCGGGTGCAGAGTCCACCCTTAGAAACTTGCAACTCTCTGGTAAAACAAAACAGTGCCACTCATCACACACATGGAAAACACTCAGCTTCCTCCCAAAACATAAAAAGGAAGTCCTCTGCCTAAAGCCGTGTTAGACAACTTCGTGGTAACTGCCAACCCTCTGTGTGGGTTGTGAATACCATGACATGCTGTTGTCTTCCCACATATTAAAACTTTAACTCCTTCATGCCATGTATGGCTCATACTACCCATGTACGAACTGGCTTAAAATTCTACAAATGTACCGACCCTGACAGGAAGTACGTGACTGGCCAAGTGACAACACTGACAGCCCTACCTGTCTCTGGCTTCTGTGCTCTGCCACCGACACTGGCTCGCACCTCCTTCGTCTTCTTGAGCCCATCACTGAGGACCTGAAGGAGGGGTGAGCGCTCAGGGGCAGAATGGTCTTCGGTGATCAGGATTTTACCAGAAGAAACACTCATGGGCATAGAACCCTCAGGGATACCATCAGAGGAAGCACCCTGTGTATCAGGTGAATATCTCTGAGAAAAAGGACGAAAGAGCTCTGTGTGAAAGTCTGGCTCAGCACTGTCAGTCCTCTTGCTCTCCCTATGATTTTCCTGGTCGGTGTGCTCAGAGCCAGCAGGCCTCCTGTGCCTGGCTTGGGGCAGGACTGCCACAGCTTCCGGGGAGCCCAGCCGAAGAGCTGTGGAGGCCTTCCTCTGCTTTGCTCTGGATGTCCTCATGGTCACCTCTGTGGCCTGGCACTGCCCGGCTTCCCTCGCTTCCACCCAGGGATCATTGCCTTTTGCGTCTGGAGTTGTGGAGCGCGGCCTTCTAGTGGCAGAGTCTGGCCCACTGCCGATTCGCGTTAAGCCATACTCTGGGGAGGCAGGTGTCTGAGAATCTGCCGACGACAGTAAGGCCAGCTTTCTCTGATCACTTGTCAGAATGCTCCTTGTCTTGCCTGATGATTTTTTCCTACGCTTTTTAACTAGTTCAGTGGGATCAGAAATTCGGTCATAATTTTCCTTCTCAGTACTATTGATCTCCATATAGCATTCCCTGATGAGGCCTTGGTGATTGGGTCTTGGTTTAGATTTATTGATTTTAAAATCAAGATCTTCTGAGTACCTTTTTCGGCCATGTACATCATTATCAATATCCTCACGTGTCTGGATCGTTTTAGAAATTATTTCTGTCTTCCGATTTACTTTCTGCCTAAGCGTCTTATTTGTTTTTGACTCGTTTTGCTGAGGAAACTGCATACTGGTGACACAGCTGTTCTGGGTCTCATAGTCACATAAATTTCTGTGATCTTTGGTGGGAAGATCAACTGTTTGAAATTCGTGTGTGACTTCTGGGTTTGCAGAAGGGGTTTCTTCATCCTTCTGGGTTAAAGAAACAAAGTCATCTTTTTCTAGGGTGTACAGGCCTCTGCCTCTGCTCATGCAGGGGTGGGGAGGCTCAGAGATTATTTCTGTATTTTGATAACCTCTTTCTCTAGCCACCCCCGTTTTGGAATCCCTCTGACAAGCAGCTGGCACACCACGGACCTGCTCCCTCACCCGTGAGGCATTCTGAGTCACATAATCGCATGGCTTTCCACTGTCCTGGGTGGGCAGAGCAGGGGTTTGAAACTCACTCGAGTCTTTCAGGTCTCCAGGGAGGGTTTCTCTCTCCTTTTGGAGGCAGAGCAAGTTACCCTTTTCTGAGCAACTCCAACATTTGTCATTGTCAAAATGATTCACTTCAGAAATTATCTCTGTCTTCCGATTTACTTTCTGCCTAAGGTTCTTATTAATTTTGGACTCGTTTTGCTGAACAGGGTACACAACTGTGACTGGCTTTTGCAAATCCAACATGTTCTGGTTCTCACAATCACACAGGTTTCCATGATCTCTCATGAAAAGAATAGGTATTTGGAAGTCTTCTGAAATGCCAAGATTTCCAGAGACAGTCTCTTTATCCACTAGGGTTTGGAAGAAAATGTTCCTTTGCTGGGGGGCATGCACATCTTTACCATTATCCCCATACCTCTGGTTCACTTGAGAAATTACTTCTGTCTTTCTGTTTACTTTCTGCTTAAACTTACTGACCTCTGACCGATCCTGCTGAGCGGGCTGCCTATTGGTGACATACTTTTTTAACGCCAACATATTCTGGGTCTCACAGTCACATAAATTTCCATTTTCTCTGGAGGAAAGATCAGCTGTCCGAAATTCTGGTGCAACTTCTAGGTTTTCATTAATGGTTTCTTTATCTGCTTGGTTTGGGACTAAGTGATCTTCTTCTAACTTAGGAATCACAAAGGTCTGCCTGGAAACTTTGCTTTTACTACTACACGCTAGCGAGTTCGGGTGCATGTGCACGCCTCCCCCTCTGGCTTCCTCCTGTGGGCAGGCAGCACCTGCTTCTTTGTCCTCTCCGCTGCACTGGGCACTGTGTCTGTCCTCTTGGCCAGAGCCATGCTGAAGGCTCATTTTCCTCAGTGGATTCGCCAGAGGCAGCTGCGCAGTACTGAGAGTAAAATCCGGGTCTCTCGAATCTCTGCTGTTGCCCGCGAGCGCAGAGCTTCCTTCCGGTCCGTTTTCTGCCTTCTCCTCAGCATCCACTCCTGCACTAATCTTACGTTTTCTCTTTGGCCTGTCTCTCTTTGTTTCAGAGCTCCCATCCCTCACCTTCCTGAAAGCCTTCGGTTTGCAGTCGTTTATCTTTCTATTGCTTCCCCGTCTGCCGCCTCGGGAAACGGCGACGATTGTGCTCACGTCGGTGGCTGTCAGCTCCATGTCGGCCCCGAACACAGTCACCTGCCCCCAGGGGTCGCTGCTGTCCTGGGCTCGGCCTGCCCTGTCTTCGGCAGGCTCCCTGGAAGGCACAGGAGGGTTTTCCAGGCCAGGAAGGCCCTGCGCATTTCTGGGCACTGCGATGTTTTTTTCATCAGCACAACCCTCTGTCTCCACAGGCCAGCCAAATTCCGGACTCCAACTCTGCTGCTGCCCTGAATCTGCCCCCGGCGGCGTGTCTGCAGCAGACACGCGCTTCTTCCTCGCTGTCACGTTACTCAGGGACAGCTTCTCCTTTACACAGCTGGTGCCAGGGGCATTGGTTGTCTCACCCACCACGGCAGGCTGGGAACTTCGGTCTGAGTGGGAATGACTCTCTATAAAGTAAGGGAAAATACAAAAGTCAGAAATAAGTAAAGAAGTTAAGTAGTAGATTATTAAAAAAATATTTTTAATTCTTTTTGTTTGAGGCAGTCTCACTATGTAGTTCAGGCTGGCCTCAAGCTCACCTCCATCCTCCTGCCTCACCCTCCCCAGTGCTGGCACTATAGGTGTGCACCACAAGACCTGGCAAATGTTTAGAGGATTCTTTGGTTTTTGAGACAGGGTCTTGCTACATAGCCCAGGCCAACCTTGAACTTGCTATGTACCCAGGTTGACATTGAGCTAACAATCTTCCTGCCTCAGCCTACTGAGTGCTGAAGTTATAGGTGCAACCACCATGCCTGGCTAGCAAATTACTGCTCAAGTCCTCACATTACTAAGAATCTATGCAGAGAGCAGTGAATCACACATGACCTGAGTATGCCTGAGTCACATTTTACGTGTGACTCTATGGGAAATGCATGCTGCTGAAAACTTGCCCTGCCCCAGCCCTGACAGTGGATGAGCTGGGTGTGCTCACATCCGCATCCAAAGGGAAGGACCCAGCAAATGACCACGCCGGACAATGGTACAGGTGACCACTTAGGAACGTCAGGAAGCAGAAAGGACTCTCAGCTCTAAGTTAGGGCAGCTGTGGCTGCACGTGCCAACCCGAGAACCTGACAAATCCATGCGCACCGCAGCACATCGTCATAGCACTTTAGGAATACCACGTACACAAAGTGCAAGGGCCACAGTTCTCAGTCCTAACCAGGCTCAACTTTTTGCTTTGCCATTAACTGGCTGTAATCTTGAAAGTCACTGTACCTATTCTTCACCAGTTTTCAGATTTATGAAAAGTGCGAAACCAAGCACATATTTGGTATCTTTCAAATCAGATGTTAGGGAATGCAGCACACCTCGCGGGCCGCGCCTCCCTGAGCCCTGCCTGCACAGAAGTGGCACTGGGCCTGTGAGCTCGCACCACCAGCATCTGCTCTTGGATTTCTATTCTCGTCTTTGGCGGTGCTGGGAGTTGAACCCAGGTCCTTCCAAGAGCTACATCCCCAGCCCTTATTTCCAGCTCAGACTTTTAGAATAGGTCTTGCTAAGCTGCCCGGTTGGGTTCAGACTGGTGTCCCTCCAGCTGGGGCTCCAGGTGTGTGCTGCCACACTCAGCTTGCATGCTTCCTTTCACTCTAAATTTAAAGTTTTACCAGTAGCTGTAAATGATGGAAGTCAGCTCATCTGTAACATAACAGATCAATCTGACTTAGTAACTGTTTATATATACACATCTCTCATTGCCCTCAACAAGAAAATGGGAGGAATATAACTAATACTAACACTCAAAATGAATTTTTAAAACAATCTCACCTTTGGGAGGTACGTCGACACTAGAAGAAATATGCTCTGAGTCATCTAGACCACACATATTCCAATTATTTTCTTTAAGAAACAACGTGTCCACGTTACACTGAGTCGGGGCAGACTGACTTTCTGATACTGAAGACGGAGCATCAGGTGACACCCTTGATGTGACACTGCTGTCCCATGGCGTTTTCTCTTTATCAACCTCCTCATCATCATTCGAAGGTAGTGGAACCCTAAAGCCAAATGAAGATGAAGTGAGGAACTCTGTATTTTACAAAACTAGAAAGAAAAAAAAGACAGCTCTGCAAAGCCTGCATGAGGACACTGTAGACAGCTTTGTGCCAATAATGTGATGCTTTCCACGAAGAAGACAGACAAATTCTTTGAAACCTTTAGAAGCCTAACAGAGAAGTAGAAAATCTGAATATTCCTATGTGTCTGTTAAAGAAATTATATGTTATAAAAAGGCTTTTCACACAAAAACTGCAGGCCCAGATAACTTCTCTCAAACAAACACTTCCGTAAGACAGAAAAATACTTAACTCATTGAACATGACCAGAGTAGCATAAACACCAAAACCTGGAAAATTATAAACCATTTTCATTACTAACATGCAGGCAAAAACCATTTAAAACAACTGGCAAATAGAATTTTACGATATAGTAAAAGGATTACATCAGGAGCAGTGCACTGGTGGTTTAATCCTCAAAATCAATTCTTATTAACTCACTGAAGGAAGAGGAAAGTGTTAAAAACTCATTACACTAACAGAAAAAGGAAAGGCAGTATCTTCTCAATAGTGACAGGAAACACATTTGAGAAAATCCCACAGCCATTTGAGAAGAAAGTCTTAGCAACCAGAGTACAAAGCGATTTTCTTACCCTGACAAAGGACAGTGGCACACAGCTGTCACTACTTTCACTCAATATGGAACAAGTAACTAGTGCAATAAAGGTACAGGAAATAAAACTCTGAACTTGGGTTGTAGGGAGAGGAAACTATCCTCATTCATAAATAACAAAACTCTATTTGTAGAGTAGAAAGAGGAACTCCCCCAAGAAGCCATTAGAGTCAATAGCAAATATCCTGGAACAAGGTCAATATCCAAAAATCAATTGTATATCCAAGGATCAAGAAGAAAATGAAGTTTAAGAAACAGCAACACTTGGAATGCCATTAAAACCCTAAGTAAGTACAAAAAAACTATAAGACATGGAGAAAAGCATGTGATATGTAGGTAAACTAAGTGATATAACATGTTTATAGATGAAACAGTCTATTTTATAAAATGTCAGTTTTCTCCAAATTGAGCTACAGTCCACACAATCTCAATCAAAATTCTAGTTTTGTATGTGTGTGTATATTGACAAGTTTATTCTAAAATTCATAAAGAAATGCAAAAAGACCCAAGCACTGTCAAAGATAATACTGAATACAAAATAATTAAGATGGAGACTCACATTATGAAATAGGAAGATTTGCTATAAGGCTAATAATTAAGACAGTTTGACTCACAAAAAGACGCATGGGACAGAAGAGGGAATTTAGAAACAGACCCTTCCCCACAGTCACTGACTTCGTGTGCAACACAGGCGGCAGCCCAGTGGGGCAGAGAAGGGCCGGTGTTTCCCACAATGGTGCAAGGTCGTGGAATGACCCCATGGGAAGAAAAGAATCCCGGTCCTCCCGTACATCACACCCCAAAGTCCAGGCAAACTGAACATACAATCAAGAAAGGGAAAATAAAACCGCTTTTGGAAGGAAATAAGAGAACATCTAGGGACCTTGTAATCAATGAAGACTTTTTTGTAAAAAGGACACAAAAAGTAGTAATCAAAAAATTGCAAGAATGTGGACTGGGGAGGAACACATACACATGCATATACACATATGCACGTACACAGATTTTATAAAGAATTTCTATTCATCTAATGATGCCATTAAGAGAATGGTAAACCACAGAGTAGAAAATATTTGTTACACCTAAAGTATGCATATAGAGAGCAGCTTAAACAAAAAAGGGTAGAAAACCCAATAGAAAACATATGAACAAATGCTTACCTTCATTAGTTATCAGGGAAATTAAAATCAAAACCTCAGTTCAATACCTCTACACACCTCCAAGCTGGCTGAAATGAGCAAGTGTTATTGAAGACACAAAACGCAAATCCTTATCTACTGCTGGAAGGACTGTAAACTTGTAAAACCCTTTCAGAAAACTATTTGGTAGCTTCTCCTACAGTTAAATATACATAAACTTGGTAATTCTAATCCTAGGTATTAGGAAATTTGGTGTAATTTGTAACAGATGGAAATCAGAAGAACAAAATGCTTGCCGAAGAATGGAGATCCAGTGATATGATCAGACAGAGGAAGCCTACACAGCACTGAGAATCGTGGTCTACAGTCTCTTACAGCTCAACAGGTGATGGCACACAGCAGCACAGGAGCAGGAGTGGGAGTGCACCAATCATGACAGGGCCACAATCACACGGGCCACCAGTGACAACAGCAGTCAGGGTAGCACTTATCACTGCGTGGTGTCTGAGGCAGTCCTAACATTCTCTTTCTTGGTTAGGCATGAGTTGTTCGTTTGTCAAGTTTAATATGTATGTTATACTAGAAACAAATACTCACTTTAAAAAATATGTAATTTTTTGGAAAGCATGTTGTTGTTCAACTCAAATGTCTACATGAAACTGATAGATTTCCCTCCGATTTAGGGTGGCTGCTGTATATAATAGCTACCTTCTTCCCAACATGCCCCTACTCCCACCAAAACAGTAACCTAATACTTGCTCTCCTCCTAGTAACTAGTGACTGTCAGTGGCTCCTCCATTCCCTAGCCACTACCTCACTTAACCCCACCCCAGCTCCTATAAAAGGCACTTCCTGCCCCAGCCACATTGCTTTTGTCTCTCCCTTGTTCAGAGACAGCCTGGAAGATTGTTCCTACAATAAAGGCTTGTTGTGGCCTGGTCTGGTCTTGGTTTTCGGCTTTCTTACCTGACAGAAACAACACATGCTTGACTGTCACGGGATTTTTTAAAAAGACCTACAGACCTACATGACAATAAAATTTACTATTTCTTTTTTTTGATACCGGGGGTCGAACTCGGGACCTTGTGCTTGCACGTGCCCCTGAGCTAAATCCCCAGCCTTAAAATTTACTATTTCAAAGCTACAGTGATTAAAATGTACTGGTATAAAGGGGTAATACTGTACATAACGGGTAAATCAGTGGATAAAATCAGGATGAATAGAAAGTGACACAACAGATGCGAGAATTTTTTTTTAAACTATGAAACAGATATTATTTTAATATATAAGTACCTTTACTGGTTTAATGCTTTTACTTAAGGCCCTTCTGTAAAAACCTTAAACCCGTAAGTTGTAAAACAGACAGAACACTGCCTGAAAGGGACAGGAAGACTCAAGTCTATGCTGTCAGCTGCCTGAGGCGTTCTGATTCTCTAATCCTCAGTGACTGACTTAAAGTGGCAGGCTTCATGCAGGGCACTTTCTATGACTTATTATCAAATAAATTAAAAAATGTGAATTTTAGCAGGAGAAAAGCAAAGATCAAAGTCAATCTTAAGGCCTGGGCATATGCAACACAATACAGGTAGAAACAATTTCCCCAGCAAAAAACAGGCTAAAACAACAAAAAAAAATTAAAAGTAGCAGGATACAATAGATGACCTTGGTTACTGAACTGTGGGCTGAGTTTCCTTGGAGTCGTGAGACCACAGCCTGTACATCAGACCCCACAGACCTGAGAGCGAAAGCACAGGGTGACACGCTCAGCACTGTCTGGGGTCACAAAGCCCGACTGACTGGGTCATGGAGAATGTTGTGCTCTGAGCCATGACATACGCTCAGCATTGTCTGGGGTCATAAAGCCTCACTGGGTCATGGAGAATGTTGTGCTCCGAGCCAGTGGGCCTGGAGTGCACCAGTGCTGCCCACCTGCCCTCTCTCCCTCCCCCACTGCCTGCCTTTTCTTTCCTTTCCTTTCTTTCTTTCACTAGAGGTGTTCATGAGAAAGCCAAGTATTATTTCAACATTCATAACTTAATTCTATGAGAATGTCTAATTTCTCTTACTAGTGCAACGTTAGCAATGCAATTTTTGCTGATGTATTAGAAATAGATTTCATCACTTACTTTTAAATGTTTTTCTGTGTTTCAAGAAAGCACACAAAGTCAGATGTGGTAGTGCACACCTGTAATCCCAGCACTCAGGAGGCTGAGGCAGGAGGATCACGGCAAGTTCAAGGCTAGCCTAGGCTACATAGTGAGCTCAAGGCCAGCCTGAACTATATAGTGAGACTCTGTCTCAAAAAAAGAAAGAAAGAAAAATAGCACACCAAATAAAAATTATTAAAAGTCCAGTCTACCTTCTTCCACACTGTAAGTTTGCAAGTCAGTATTTCACCAAATTCTGCAGGAATTACCTTGCAAATGGAAGACGGATCAACGTGCACTGTTTGCTGGGCCGTTTCTTCTTACTATTGGATGGCAGAAAGGAGGTCTGGTGGAACTAGTTTGAAAAGAACACAGAAAATGGAAAGAAACAAAGTACCAAAGTATTCAGGATACCAACAGTAACAGCACAGTTCCCACATCAGCCTTCCAGCACTTCCAGCATGGAGTGAGAACAATGTGGGGAGGCAGAAACGGCTCCTCACCCCATCCATGACCCGTGGTGCTCACTACCAGGCTTTGTTCGGGAACCCTCCAGACGTTTTTCTATGCATGGGAGTAGATGCATACATCCACACATATACAGGCTCTTTACATGTATATATCATACAATTAGACTCTTTTATAGACTTTTAAATTTGAAGATCAGGTGCTATTACTCTTTCATATTTTTGCTATTTTCCAAATTTTCTGACAAAAACATGTTTATTAAATAACTGTCAAAAAGACCAGGAAGTGATGTAACACAGAGCCATGTGGTGAGGCCTCTCTCCTGACCAGGACAGGGTGTGGCCCCTAAGCTGCAGGGGCCTGAACTCTGACCCCACTGCTACGCCCACCTTGTGTGGAATCGAGGGAGGATCTGCTAACAGAAGAGTGAGGACACCCACAGTCCCTCAACACGCCATACCTAGGATGTCCAAGGTCCAACAGGAAATCACTCGTCGTGTCAGGGACCAGGAAAACCTGACTCTGGTCTCCGATATGACACAAATGTTGAAATTATCTGACATGGGTTTTAAAGTAAGCATCATAAAAATGCTTCAGTAAGCAACTACTAATCTGCTTAAAACAAATGAAAAAACAGGACTCAGTAAAGAACTAGCAACTCAGCAGACAGAATTTATAAAGAACCAAATGGAAATTTAGAACCAAAAAATACAGTAACCAAAATAAAATAAAATTCCAAGGGCTCAACAGCAAAAACAGAGGAAAAGTCAGTGAAGCGGAAGACAGGACAACAGAAATTACCTAAACTAAGAAAGAAAAGAGAATTTAAGAAATGAACAGTCAGAGCTACACGGGGAGCAGAGAAGGGCAGACGGCAGGCCCGGGACACCTGCAGAGTCGTGGAGGAAACGTCCCAAACTGGGAAGTGCCATCAACCTACAAGTCCAAGCAGCATAGTGAACCCCAAAAGAGATGAACCCAAAGAAGTCATGCCAAAACCATAAAGGTCAAAATTCTCAAAACTAAAGGTAACAGAAAAAATTCTAACAGCAGTAAGAGAGGAATAGTATCTTGGCTCCAAGAGTTATGAAAGAATAAGAATGGAACAAAATAAGTATTCACTCTAAATTAGAAAAATAACCTAAGCCACAAAGGCAAAGAAAGGACTTATTAAAGGTAAATGCAAAAAGTAGTAAACTCGAAACAACAAAACAGTAAGTTCAAAATAAATTACAAAGATGATTCTTTTAAAAGCACAAAATAAAATAGATATTTATCACAGATAATTTTCCAAGGACAGACAATAAAACTGACCACAGAAGGAGTTTCCTAGGGACCAAGCCCTACAAGCAGAGCTCACAAAGAGCCCCCGCACCCCACACCCGGGCCAGCCAGGCGCGGGACAGCTCCATCTAACTCCCTATGAACTCGATCACTTTTCCAGAGCACAAGGAAAGAAAATGTCCAGTTTTTTCACTCAAGGTCACAGGGCCTGGAAGCAGCAGAGCTGGGATCTGAGTAAAGGTAATCCCATTTATTAGCCACCCTTTGAAGCATTAAACTTCCTCAAAGTCTATAAGAGATTTATCTAAAATTCAGATTTCACAAATGTTTCTTTGTTTTATATATCAGGCATATTTTGCCTTCTCATTAATAATTTCTTCTCAAAACTGTTTTTTTCTATTTTACATATTTGAATTAATTTCACTAGCATTCAGTCCTTCACCCTTAATTTTTCTACTGATTTTTCTTTTTCTCATTCTAGATTATAAGCAATCCTTACTCATGATTCCCTCCATTATTTATTATTATTACTATTTTTTTGGTACCGGGGATTGAACTCTAGTCCTTGTGCTTGTGCAGCAGGCGGCGAAACCACTGAGCTAAATCCCCAGCCCCCTTATTGGTAATGTTAATATTTTGTCTGGCATATGTTTAAATAATTTTCCCAGTTTGCCGTTTACATCTATCATGTTAATGACGTTTAACCCTCTAAACTCTTTTTTCCATTTCTGATTTCCTTTACGGTTGTTATCTTTGCTTGTAGAATGGCCTCTTCTACCTAACTTGAGTTTATTTTCGTTCTCTTTTTATGGCTCCTTTTTTTATATTTAAATCTATCTAGAATTTATTTTAGAGGGGTATAAGTAGAATCTGCCCATACTTCCCTCCCAAATAGCTTTTCAAATGTGCCTAGCATTTTATTTTAGGATCATATCAACTCTTTCCTCACCAGAAACATTGCCTCCCTATGAACTTTCATGTTTCTGAGTCTGTTTAGGGACACTTTTCCCAGGAGTGGCCTCTACTCAGGGCCCCACTCTGGTGGCTTCTGTGACCCTGAACTTAAGCTCCTATTAGCAAGGTGTGGATAATCTTATTACTTGTAATCAAAATCTGACTTTTATATAATAGTTTCAAGAATCAATTACACAAAATGATAATATACTGTTAGCCAGTTAAAATAGGTACTATCTTTTCTTTGTACAAAGTTTAAAATACAAAATTCTAACCTTGATGCTACTTAATTTCAGTTATCCTCAGTAATGCTAAGAATGATATTACTCACACATAAATTCACTTACCTCAGAAAGACTGCTCATTTCAATTGCGGTTATCAAGTTATTGCTCAGGAGTGATTCTATTTCTATAAGCTTCTTGTTCTATACATGTAAAATAAAGACCTCTTTTAATCAGTTAAAATTTGGAGTTTATTCCAACCATACATTTAGGAGTACTTTCTATTGAGATCACTCTGAGCTAATGGTATTACACTGACTGGTCCAAACAGCTATACATGCACACGTACACACACCAAAAGAGTCTGAATGCTATTGAGATATCAATTATACATTTTCCTACAGACACCTTTCTCTTCTCATAAAGACATGCCAAGTAAAACACAGTTGGACAGTCATAGGAATTTAACCTCTGAGTATTACAGGACATTTTTCCATTTTAAATTAATTTGTGCTCATGTTAGATTTAAATCTACAGCTGCAACCTAGCTAACCGTTGGCTCTCACTGTCCACTCTGTAGACAGGCTTGAAGTTGGAAAGAAAAGCATGAACTACAACCACCAACCGATTTGGCTTGTAGGGACTGACATGCTAAGATGACCGGGGGCTATGAACCCTCCGGGAGCTCCCTCTTTCTAATTCCCTGAAGAGTTATGCTCGTTTTTTAAGACAGTAATGTATCAGGTGGTGGTAATGATGTGCAATGTAACATCGATCACAGTGTGACTGTGGTTACAGAGCACACAAGGGCACATTCAGAGTCAGACTTCAGGAACCTGTGATTAATGAATGTTTGTCCTTTAACAGATTTATGTAACAATGACTTCAACAATTCTTTACAACAGTTGGAGATATGAAAAACATTTTTAGTTTCTATATTAATTTAAAGATTTTAATTATAAGGTGGAATTCAAAAACAGTGTATCTTACCTACCAAGTTATCTAGTTTTATTCGAAGAAAGGTATTCTCAAAATTCAGTTTCTCCACTTCTTTTTGCAACAGCATCTTTTCGGTTGCAATTCTTCGAGCATTTTCTTTTTCCCTACTGAGAGCCTGAGCCAATGCTCTGTTGTTGTGCTTTAGGGAAATTTTGAAAATAGAAGAATTGTCTGCAAAAAAGATTTTTTAAAGAGTTAATAATGAACTTTAATAAATTTTCACATTCCTTAGTAAACTACTTCAGACAAAATGAATTTTGCTTTTTAAGTCTTAACTGAAGGTTAGGAGAATGGCAAAAATAGATGTCGGTTTGAAAAATATGCGTCAGAGTTCGAAGCTGAAAAATAAAAGCTAGGCAGATGAACAGAGCTGTGAGTGGGCAGAAAGTGTGTCAACCGCGTCGGGACAGAGAAGCCGTGCAGACCCGGTCTTCCAGGCAGTGGCATCGGTTACCACACTGGGCTCTAGATACCCGCGTGGGAAGCTGCCCCATGGCGATACCTGTCCTAGAAATGATAAAGCCAGTTTCTGTGGCTCCACAACCGAGCTAAGACAGTTCATTCCCAAATGGGGTTCTCTACGCCTCAGGTTGACGGGGGCGTCCTTGCTGTGATGCCATGTGGTGGACTTCAACCCTGAGAGAGCGTCTGCCTCCAGCCCAACCCCCACCGGACATGCACTGCAATCTACACTTGACCTCTTCTCTTTAAAAGTACCAGGAACATGTGATTTAAGTCATTACTGAAATGCTATCCCGTTGGTAGCAATGAAATTTCAATGTGAATTTTTAGGTTAAGCTTGCTTTAAATATGTTTCTTTAGTACACTTAAGCATAATTGTATTTTCATAATTTGAATCTGTCAATAATATTCCACTGGATAAAAGTATAGAATATATAAAATAAATTTTATAAAATGTACTATTTTTTAGATAATCATAGACAGTTTGGGTATCTGAAGACCATGGTTCCCAAAACTACTTTACCTTTGGCCGAGCTTGGTCAATCAGCCCTGCTTGGCACTGCCAGAGGAAACGGACTTGGATGGGGTCTCCAGAGGCTGAAGGGCACTGTGCAAGGTAAGCACTCCGCTCCCTCTCGGCAGGCACACAGTCCTGCCACAGAGCAGGCAGCAGCCACCGTGGGAGGCAGGCTAACCCGACACCCCCCAGGCCTAGGAGGAGCAGCACCATGGTGTAGACGCTCAGGAGGTCCAGCTGTCCCACAGCCATCCTTGGGGGGGCGGGGGGGGCTCCCTCAGCAGGACACTGCCTTCCCCAGCAAGGAGGGGACACGACCCAGGAGTGCATGCGGAGGTGACAAAAACATCTTCCCATCTTTTTTGCCCTTCCAATAGCTCCAGAATGCATGACTCCCCACTTCCACAGTGCACAGTGCCTTCATGGTGGGCCCTGGCCACAATCACCACTGCAGCCCCGTCTCTGCCCACCCTCGGGCCACTGTCACCCAGCTGCCACCTCAGGCCAGAGCAATCTGCTGCTCCTTTGGCTCTTTTCCAGAGAAGTCATGGTGCAGTTTTCCTTGCAGGAAAAGGGGTAGCTTCATTGGGCTGTACAGCTCCTACGTCTGTCGAAAATGCAGCTGTTACCCCTGAGGGTAAACCAGGAAAGCAGCCAAAAGGAGCCGAAGGACACAGGAAGGATGATGGGAAAAAGGCTGACAAGAGAGCCACTTGAGTAATTTTGTCTATTTGATAAAATACGGTACCAAACATATCACTTCTCCAGGAAAAGGCACAAATGTGAGTATACTTGGGAACTAATGGCACTTACTTATTATTTTTGTTTTGATTTTTGAAGCAAGAGAAACATTCAGTGTAGTCTTTGAAACTCTTTTGTCTTTCACGCGTCTCTTAATTCCTGAGGTCACCGAGTCAGGACCCATCCCTGGAGACTCCATAGCTGAAGGGAAAGGAAGAGAAAGGACAGGAAAGGAAAGGCTGCAGTACTGATGAATAAAAGTAAAAGTAAATGACAAACACACCCTAAAAAGTAACAATCGTGACTTAAGATGTACTTTGTACCTAAGTAGTTGCCAAACTATAAAATTTGAAAGTAGGAATGAAATCAAAAGTAACTTAAAGCAGGCCAGGGATTTAGCTCAGTGGTTCTGGTGCCTGCCTCACAAGTGCAAGGTCCCAAGTTCGATCCTTGGTACCAAAAAAAAAATAACTTAAAGCAGAATCTGCAAAGGTAAAAAAAGACTGTGTTTTTTGTTCAAGTCTTTATCTATACACCAGATGCTGGGGTAGGGCAGGATGCGTGAGTACAGATGCTGTGGGGTGCGATGGAGGAAGGGTAACCCCGAGACACCTGAGCTCAGTGCAGCACAGAGGAGACACCTGATGGGATAGAGGGGAGGGAACTGCAGGGTGGGTAGGACTTCTAAAGTGTCTGTTAGATCCGTGTCCATTACACCTGGAAATCTCATGGTGGAAATGGGGGACAAGTACAGTCACATTAGAACATGACAAGAGGAACAGCTGCAATGCACGACACACAGGAGAGTGATGAGCTCTCCCCAGGCAGGGTAAGGACCAGAAAGGCTCACAGAGAAGGTGCCACTGATGCTGAGCCGTGTGCCAACCTGAGCCGGGGCTCCCCAGCCCCGTAGCCAAGCCTTCCTGCCTCCACCTGCAGATCCCCTCCACAAAGCTGCCCCCCCACCCGCCCAAGTCCTGTGATGTTCTCACTGTTCCACAGGACCCAGACTCCCAGGGCACTGAGCCCCCCCAAGGCCTGCACAGCTTCCTGGAGGCTGGAAAACGGCCCCAAGATAACAGACCCCTGCAACCCTAACCCCACCCAAGTCTGCAGACTGGGTCAGTGGGGTCTTGTGATGAGGAGATCACCCTCAATACCATCCCTAAGTGGTACAGGGAGGCAGAGACCTGAGTGACGCTGTCATGAACCACAGACTGCACTGGGGAGCTAAGAGGCAAGGCTGGTTGTCCCCAGCATCTGAGAGGTGCATTGCTGCACTCAGCCTTTAGCTCAGGGACACCAAGATTGTGCCTCAGCCTCTGGGGCTACCTCATGTGTGCCAAGTGCCACAGTGGCCACGGGGAACAAGGAGTCCCCACGTCTCACTCTCTAGTCCTCTGGATACACATCCATAGTCAGCAGACCTCTCACAGTGCCGGCCCTCCTCTTGTGTTCCCTTTGGCCTTCAGCCAGCCTCTCCCAGGATGCAGACTGCACCTTCAGGTGGGGGCTGTCTCCCCAGACCCCTCCCAGGAGTCACACACCCATGCTTGTGGGCCTTCCGTCCTCTTCCTCCCCAATCCCAGCTGCAAAGAGAGGCCATCGGAATCGACTCTGAGTCTCCTGCTGCTGCTGTCCACCCCAACCCCAGGTCGGGTGGCTTCTCTGTATGATCCTGGTTTCACACCTGGCTCACTGTCACTCTCTGTGGGCACACTTCCCATGACAGTGGCTCCCCACGGCCACATGACCTGTGCCTGTCTTCTTCCCATTGCTGGGTGAACTGTTCTCCCCCCAGGGCCACACTGCCTTCCCAAGACATGGGCGGGTGCACGCTTGGGGCCCTGCATCTCCTTCACCTGGCAACCTCTACATGACATCACCACTCTCTTCCTTCTCCACCAGGCCATTCTCGTCCATACATGCTGCATCGCCTCGACCTAAAGAACGCTCTTGTTTCTACTGCACCACAGACAACTGCTCCATTTCTCATCTGACTTGAACTATCGGGATCTATAATTTCTCCTTCCTCAAAAGCCATTTTTGCTTGGCTTCTAAAACTCTATATCCTGGAGAGTTTTTTCTATCCAACCACTTTTCCTTTTTTAGCTCTTACAGGTTCCTCCAACCAGTAGCAGGTGCTCTTCTGGACTGCTGCTCTTCAGCTACACCACTTCAGTCTTATGACTTAAAATACCAGTCTTAGTTACTTTTCTCATCGCTGAGACAAAATACCTACAGTTAAAGGAGGAAAGGTTTACTTTAGTTCATAGTCTGCAGAGGTTTCAGTCCGTACTTGGCTGCTTCCAAGGCAGGGTGACATGGCAGAGGGGGATTGCAGAGGAGAAACAGTCCATGGCATGGCTGACAGGCAGAAAGTAGCAGCAGCACCCTGCCTTTCGTCTTTTCCCCTTACATTCTATGCAGGCTACAAGCCTATTGATTGGTGCCTCCCACACCCAGGGTGGGCCTTCCCATCATCCACACCCAGAACTATACTAAACTAATTTAGTTATCACACACCCTTAATCTCAGCATCACACACCCTGGATCCAGCCACTTTGGAAAAGCTCCACCTATGAGCACATGAGGCTTTGGGGGGACATCAAGATATAAGCCATGACAACCACATAGATGCCCAAATCTCCAAAATGTCTTCAGGTCCCTGGATTCAAATGGCTAAACTGGCCAGGTATGGCACACACCTGTATTCTTAGCACTCTGGAGGCTGAAACAATTGCTAGAAGTTCAAGGCCAGCCTGAGCTACCTAGTGAGTTCAAGGCCAGCCTGAACTGCACAGCAAGACCATGTCTGAAAAAACAACCAGAATGATCCTTTTAAACTCTAGTAAATTCATGGAACTCCTATGTTAAAAGCCCTTCTTGGCTTTTTAAGCCATCTTCACAGTGGCCTCTAATGCACTATACAGCTTGACCTTTTGCTCCTTCCCCAGTGTCCAGCAGTGCACCTGAGTGCTCTGCTCAGCTCCTGCCACGGTGACTCGCTCCCATGCAGAGCCTCTGTACACCTGGCTCCTTCCTAGCAACTCCTCTTTCACATAACCACGGGGCTGGCTGGCTCCCTTAAGTCTTCGCTCAAATGTCACTTTCCGAAGGTGTTTTCCCAGTTCAAAGTGCTTGGAATTGCATACCTGTCCCTATTCCTTTGTCCCATTTTACTTCTCTTCATAGGTTTGCCAATGTCTAACAACAACAAAACCCTAAACTTTAATTTATTGTCTATGTTTTCTTACAGAAATGTTTGGTGGGGGCATGGGGTTTTTGTCAAGTTTGTATGCTGATGTACCCTTGGGGCCTAGAACAGTGGTAAACACTTGTGGCAGAAATGACAATAGGTGAATGGAAGAATTTTCCAATAGTAGAAGTAGTTTGACTTGGGAAGGCTCACTTGGAAAGTGACACTGAATAAAGGCTTGACAGAAGAGCCCTGTATTGTAATGGTCTCCTTTGAAAGCACTGAGCTGATGTCAGACTAGGTCAAGTCAAGGATACGAAAACGGTGTTATAAGGAATTTCTGCAATAGGGAAGAAGTTGAACTATGAACCTTTCATCATTAAGGCTCAATGTTGCTTCTAAAAGTTCTCCAGAAACAAATGCTTTAAACTCAAAGATCACTATTCCATGTAGAACATAAGAACACAAAACCTCCGCACAAACCGTAGCATCTCACAGCATGAAAGGGAACCTAACATAAACCCTAGTCTCTCTCCCAAAGACTCTGGCCTCTGTGCACCTCAGGAGGCCACACTGCGGGTTCCAGTTCCCTGCCTCGGTGAGCGGCGCTGCGGCGGTGCCCAGGCGCGTGCAGTCAAGGCGTCTAAGTGGCCTCCCCGTATGCGCTCCGGGCGCGGGACCACAGAGACTCCAGGCCTCGGACCGCGCAGCCCAGGTCTTGTCGCCGAGGCAGTTTCCAGACCGACTACACCGGGAAGCGCCGCCCACCCCCGCGCCGGGGAGCTTCTGTCACCCCTGCGTCGCCCTGAGCCCCGGGCGCCGCCGTCCCGTCCTCCGGGACACCCCTTCTCGGAGGCGCTGGCGCAGCCGCTCCCAGGTGCGGATCTCCTGGAGGAGGGCAGGACCCCAGGGCGGAGTGCGGCCACAGGCCCCAAGCGCCGATCCCCCGACCCACCGCCCGACCCACTCCCGACTCACTGTTCCACGGCGAGGCCACAGGCTCCCAGAGCTCGGCGTCGACCCCGCACGAATTTAAACTGCGCGCCCGTTAGCGGTCGCCGCAGTAGCCAATCAGATCTCAAGGAGGCGGCGCAAAGGAGCGCGGTTCCGGAAGCTGCCGACGGAAGGGGCGTGGCTCTGGCAAGGGAGCCGGGGCGGGGCCTGGGGCGTGTTGGGGCGGGGCCGGTGGGCTGAGGGCGTGCCTGTGCGTTCTCTCGTGAGCCGAGTTGGTGCGACAGCGCTGCTCCCGCCGGGGCAGCCGGTTAGGTATCCGAGTGTGAAGGCCTGGCTGGCCCTGGGCCGTGGGCAGGTCTGCGCCTGCGCCTCCTGCTTGCGAGTAGCTCCTCTCCGATCTCGGCTGCGTCTTCAGCCTCAGATGTGTGCTCCCTTGAAAGCCCTCCCCAGCCCTGGCTTTCCCGGAGGCGCAGTGAGGTTCCGGCCACAAGTGGGCCGCGCTACCCCTCAGCCCTGTCCGGACACCGTGTAGCTGGCTGGAAGAATGGCGTTGTCCTTTACGGCCAGCTACATTTACAAACGGATGTTCTTCTTACATCCCACGTGACTTTGAATAGTCCGTGGCTTTCATAATCTGTACAGAAATTTTGGAAAAACTACAAACTTTCCAGTCCGGGGTATTGAACTCAGGGTCTTCGCACTGAGTTACATCCTTAGTCTTGCTAAATTGCTCAGCAGGGCTCAAACATGTGATCTTCCTGCTTCAGCCTCGCAGAATGCTGGGGAAATAGGTATGCAGCTCCACGCCCAGCTAAACTTTCCTCTTTATAAACCATCAGACAGAAAATGAAAATAGGTTTTGATAGCTGATTATATGTTAATGCAGTCAACTTGATCCACGTGTCAATTGTCTGTTCTTTTGGAAACGCGAGAGTCCTAGTTTCCCATCTCTGGAGAATCCTGACTATTGAGTGAAGCCTGCCCTCTGCTAATGCACTTCCCACAGGTCTCCCACATCCCACAGGAATCTTGTGTGAGTAGAAAAGATGTATTCAGTGGCCTCCTGCAAGAATTAGAATTTAATACAGCCTTCACTAATCGTAGTTTAGAATGTAATACACTGGTTACAGAAATTTCCTGAGGCGTTAACTAGCTTTATAACTTGTTTACCTAGCCTAGCACATTAAAAGTTCAAAAATCTGTGTTTCTTTAAACCAATCTTGTGGTGCTGCCTTTTAATGGTCATTGAATTTCAGTGGGAATCATTTACTCTCTCCAGGCTTCTGTTTCCTCATCTGTAAATGTGGAGGCTGACAACATCCAATATACTTTTATGATAGTTCCAGTCCCAACCCCTTTTGCTCAGATGTTTTTTCCCAAATGGCTCCTTCTGTATTTACAACTTCAGAACTAAAGTAAATAGCAAAGAGAGACAGGAATGTCAGAGGTAGAATAGATGTTTCCAAAATTTGTATAGATGCTTTTATTTATTTATTTTTTTGGTACCAGGGATTGAACTCAGGACCTTGAGCTTGCAAGGCAGGTGGCAGCACCACTGAGCTACGTCCCCGGCTATAGATGCTTCTAAAAATGTCGCTCAAGCTGAGAGTGCTTTGTAAAGTGTGAAGAGTGCTGAAAATGGGGGTCCCCATGTACAGCTACACCTGGACCATATTCTGAGCGGGGCTGCTTCCCTGATCTTGGCGTGGTTCCCAGTGGTTTACCTCTGGCCTCCTGGTCAGGTTGAGGCAGGGGCCTTGGTGTGGTTTTGAGAGCTGCAGCCCAGCCTGCTCTGGGCTCCTTGCTGTGGTTCCATGTCTGTAAATGGTGTCATCATGACCCCTTCTGCACCCGATGGCAACTCTGGGCTCCTCCTGTCCCCTCAGTCACACCCACTAGTTGCCTGGCTTTCTCTACCTGAGGTTAAATTTCATACAGTTAAAATTTGCCTGTCCTGAGCCACCCACACAACCAAAGAAAAGGGAGGAGAGAGACATTGACTACTACAATTCTTTTAAGTCCTTTTTAACAGATCAGCATTACTAAAAAAAATCATTCAGGAAAAACCAACCCTGAGCAGAAGCTGCCCATGAGCCTGTGAACTGATAAACCAGTAAGATGCATTGGACATAGTGTGCTTGCATCTTAGAAGGCCACTTGGTCTGATCGTCTGCACCAGCCTGGCAGGCTGAGCTGCCAGGACACTGAGTGGGGCTGGGGAAGCAGGACAGAATGCTGGTGGTTTAGGACACTCCTGGACACGCTGGAGATTTGGGCTTGGCTATCAGGGCCTTGGCAGCAGCTGGGAGAAAGCCATAGCCCTGCATCCAGGAGGAGTTGTGGACACTGCCCCCACCCTGGACCCCTCTGGCCTTGTGGACCTGGTTGGGTTGGTGGCTGGTGGCGCTGATTCTGATGCTGGCAGTGCCAGAGCAAGAGACCTTTTTGGACAACAGGTGTGGGTTTTGTTGCCTGAGTGAGGGGCGACCTCAGCCTCCCACTGGGACACAGGAAAACATTTTGAGCTGGGCAGCAAAAAGGAGGAAAGGACAAAGGTGTATTTTATGCTGCTTTACTAGAACAATGGTTTCTGTTTCTTTTAATAGAGGTGTCCTAAGTTGGTGAGGGGTGGCAGACGGTGTCTGCCACGTGCTCAACGCCCCTGGCGTGTGGTGCTATTGCTTCCTTTTGACAGCTGGGGAGACTGAGGCATGGGAAGTCACGTAGCTCGTGGAAGACTGACCCCAAGCGTCTGGCCAGCTGTGCCTTGGTCGTGAGAGGCAGTGCCCATCACCTGAGTTTCTGCCTGTTCTCCAGTGGGATATAGCACCGAGTGACCACCCAGGAGCAATCTTAGGGGTGAATACAGGGGGCCTCGAGGTGTGGGGTGATTCCAGGCCATGTCTGTGACTTTGGCAAAGGTGTGAATGTGTAACAGACATCAGGATTCCTGTCCTGACTGAGAGAACAGGATGTATTGGGGGGGGATCCACTAACTAGTGAGGGCTGTCTGGTAACTCACCTGCAGCATGGTTCTCACTGTGGCCAGGTCATCCTCACTGCTGTGATCCAGACACTGTACACTGAGAGGTTGGGGTGCAGGCCACACCCCATCCCCCAGTCTGTGCCTCTCTGGGGAGATCCAAAGAGTTGTAAGCCTTCCTTTACTCAAGATTCCAACGATGAATCCAAACCATTGACCTGGAGGCCTGCGGGGGGCTGGAGAAGTTACTGCTGTGCACACTTGGGGTGTGTGTGTGTGTGTGTGTGTGTATGTGGTAGGGGGATGAAACCCACAGGAGCTCTGCCACTGAGCCTTGTTCCCAGCCCTGTTTAATTTTTTATTTTGAGATAAGGTCTTGCTAAGTTGCCCAGGGGGACCTGAATTTGCAGTCCTCTTGCCTCAGCCTCCCACAGCTCTGGGATTAGAGGTGTGTGGCCCAGCTCTCCTCTGTTACTAATGGACTGCCCTACCTGTGCTGGAAGCCGGCACTGCACGATTCTCTCAGCCTGGACAGGGCCTGGCTGTGGAGCAGCCTGGAGGCCTCCCCATCCTTTCTCTTGTGCAGCCCTTCTCTGCCACCCTTGTGGCTGGTGCTGGAGCCCTTTCGGGGTGTCCAAGTGGAAGTGTCCAGGAGGCACAAGGATGGATGAAAATGGGGGTGACCCTGAGCCTTGGAGGGAAGACAGAAAGGAAGCAGGAGTTGGTTCAAGGTGGGAGGAGGCACCAGCTACACGGGGCAGAGGGAAGTCATTGCAGGAGGGGACAGTCAGCCCTGACCCACACCGCAGGACTCAGACTCATAGTGTCTTCCTGCAGATGCAGAGTGGACACCGACAACACTTGGGGACACAGTGGCATCCGGTTGGAGGGAGGGGTTGGGGGAGGAGGTGGAAGAAAGAGTGGGTAGAGGGCAGTGTCCCAAGGTCTCCATGCCTGGGCTGAGGGACTGCTGCTCCTGGGAGAAAGGCAGAGCAGGGCCGGATGTGGCTGTGCTGAGTGCGTGAACAAAGGTGCATTGTTTAAGTCTTCAGACTCCTACAAATGCAGGACCTTGGCCCATCACTTGGTCAGAGCACTCCCTTCCTTAAAAAATTGTCTCTACATTGAAAAGTTTTGATTCTTTTAGTAAAAAAACCCCAAAAAACCCCGTCAAGTCAGAGACATCATTTAGACATGACCGGAGACCTACTCAACTCCTGAAAATGGTTCCTCTCACAGAATGAGAGGAAGGCCTTGGTTCGTGCTTAGTAACAGCTCTCAGCTGTTACTACATCAAGCACTGTGGAGACCTGGGGCCTCCTTAGACACAGTTCATCAAGTGGGACACACACTGGGGCCTGTCCAGTCACCTTCAGGCTAAAGCACCATGAAACTGAGAGGAAAAGACAAATTCGGAGGAAGGGGGATTCTTTCTCCTGACAGAAAGCAAAAGCGAGATGATTCACATAAAGAAACCCAGACCAAGAGGAGATCTTTCTCAGCCAAGGCAGGGAAACATAAGTAACTCAATATTCAGCTGAGCAAATATCTACCCTAAAGATTGGTTGTAGAAAACCTTGTTGTAGTTGCCCCAAGCCAATGTGAAGAACTATTCTCTCTATGGGGCAATGAGTCATTTTTTTATTTTGCAGAAGATATTTGTCTTCTCCATCTTTATTAAGTGAGATGGACTAGGTGACTGTATTATGACCCGATCTGCTGGACGAGTGCTAGTGGTGGGGAAGAGGAAGAGGAAGAAAGCCCCATCCAGGGGCCCAGTACCTTCAAGGGAGGAATGCGCATGGAGACTGACACCAGGGAGGCCGTGTCCTGAGCCCGGCCTAGGGTTGGACTCAGCCTTCAGAGCAGTGAGAAAGGAATTTCGCTGCCTAAGAGCCCAGACTACCGTGTGGTCGGGACAACCCAAGGAATGCCTTGTGGGCTGGTCTCTGGGTGTGATTATTGTGGCGTCTGTGTGTGTGTGTGTGCACACCTGTGAATTTTCAGCGCCTTTCATGTGAATTTGTTGACCTTTTCATCTTCCCTCTCATGCTCAATGTTTAAGAGTTGTCTAGAGTATTTGTTGCAAATATTTTCTCCCAGTTTTTGTCTATTTGTTGTTAGTCAAT